GTCGGCAGTGATTCCTGGAATTCCGGAATTGTGTTGGAAGTGATAAATGGAATTTCAGGAATTAGATGGAATTGGTTCCGTGAGCGGAACTGGTTCCGGAATGTTCAACATTGCGGAATTGGATGTATTCTCTTCTGCTTCAGCTTCAATTTCTGAATGATCGAGAGGATGACTGAAAAATTGAGCTTCATAATGGCTCTTTGCAATCAAACACATTTCTATGGGATCAGCAATGATGTTGTTGTCACACTTAAAGCCATCGATAGGAACAGCACCAGATTTAAAATGTCGTTTAGCCTTATTCCAGAACATTTTTGTATCGCAATCGTTCAGCGAATTGCAATACTTTAACCACGATTGTCTTTTGTGTTGGAATAATACCTTTTGAACCTGTTTCGACAAGTTGTACAGCATTCCGGTGAAAAACGGGTGACGAGTACGACGAAAAGCCTGGAGATATATTCGCTTTTGTTTGATCATTTGGATGATGTGGTGCGGGAGAGATGGTTTTAACGAATGGCGATGGGTAACGGTGGTAAATCGAGTCAGACAGAGTGACAAGAGAATCTTTAATTATGTCTAGCGCATCATTTATCTAAAGATTTTGCTGTATTCTTTCGTAAAGGAATTTATGATAATTCTCAAATTTTTTTTCGAAATTGGATGATAAGAATCTTTTTAAATAGACTATAAGAAATCACCATGTCATAGTTAATTCAGTTTATTTTCTCTGATTGATATTCATTAGAATGTAGATTAAAAACGGAATAAGAAGACTTTTCATAATCTATTTCAAAAATGGAATAAGCCGGTAGACTGAGATTTCAACAAAAATATTATTACTTGTTCTTTATTTAATTGATATATTAGATACGAAATAATAAGTTAGACATACATTCAATCGATATTAATTTCGTGTTAAGTTTAGTAATTCAAAATAAAATATTTATTTATTTTTATTAGCTGAAATACATCTAAATGCTAAATTAATTAATTTACTACCAGGTTTGCAATCTCTTCCACTATTTTCCCAGTGCCTCGCTTTTTGATTTAAAGAGGTGATATGTATTTCCAAAATATGTACAGAGTAAAACTTGTTATTGTTGAATAAAATTTTACTATTTGTGCATCCAGTTAATCATTACTCTTATTATGTCACAGAGATCACCACAGCACTTTTTTATGCCCTGCTCTGTGCCCTGATCCTATTTTGCCGCACGCCTTGACTTATCATTTGTAGCCTGCCCTAGGGTAAGGCTTTTAAATTGAGTATGCTTGTAGCATGATCTAAAATCTTCATAGAAACTATTTGATTATTCTCGACATTTTGGTATCAATATTTTTTTAATGTCATTTCGAAAGTATGCTGCAATCAAATGTAGTATGTCATTAAAATGCATCATCGATAAAAAAAACAGTACTCTTGTACAAACTCTAAAAATATCTAATTTTATTAAATTTATTGTCTAAAAAATCATTTAAATGTTATTATTTTAATCAGACTATTGAATTTCTTAAAGTGTTCTTAATGACAACATGTATGAAGGCTTTTTCTGAAAATGAAAGTTGAGACTTTCGATCTTTTCTTATTCTTGACTATCAAAAAGGGTACGTGTAAAGCGAAGTTAACTTCGACATATGTCATACTTCAAAATATCATCCGAATTGGTAATTCAAATTATAAACCTAAATGCCAATAATTTTAACTATGAAAAGCTTTTTGCTAGTATTTACTTATGAAATCAAGAGTTTTGAAAACAATTTATATGATTAAATTTTTCATGTAAAAAAATAGTTAAAAACCAGATTAAAATCGATTCTTTTTGAAATAAAAGTTGATTGAAATGCCGCTATTTTAATCAGAGTTTTCAGTCTTAAAGACAGATTTTATTTTATTTTTATCTATTTTCATAACTTAATAAACTTTAATCAGTTTAAATCGATTTTTAATAATCAGTGAAAATTAATTCATTTTTAGTGATCGATTAAAATATATTTAAAAATATAAAAATTAAATGAAATCTATCTGCAACGCTGAAAAATATGATTGAAATCAGATTAATATATCGCCATTTCTATCTATTTTTAATGCAAAGCAATCGATTTCAATTTGAATTTAAGTCTTTTGTATGGGCTAACATATTTAGCAATAAGCTTTGCAGAATGTCCACTTTTATTCTAAAATATGAGCTTAATAGTTGTAAATTAATTTTCATTAGAAAAAGTAGTCTTTTACTGAAAGGCTAGCTTATTATGTGTTCGTCTAAAAAAATCCACAGAATTCCTCAAAAAAAGAGTTTTTTTGAGATTCATTACCTTTCATTATGCCTTTGAAATGTTATTACGAGAGATTCTCTTATATAGAACGATGTTTTATTCTTCGTGGAAGTTAGTGTAAAATCGACTACAGTCATTTCCAATGCAATTGAATAAAGCCTAAGTTTCAGATTGAAAGACAACTTATCATTTGATTTCTTTAGTTAAATCTATTTTTTTCATGCGCATAAACTTGAACTTTTTGAGCGAGAAAGCATTTTCATATAAAGATTTCTTTAGATAAACACTGAAAAAATTGATTTGATTGTAAAATCAATCAGTGTTAATCTATTGTAGTAATAATGTCTAATTGCTTAAAAATCATTTTTTTCAATATTAATTTCATTCTATCAGAACTAGGGGTGTCATATAACCATTCCTTTTTATTACAATTACTTGGTAATTGGTAATAATTATTATTACTTTTATTCCTCATTATTTTTTATCACAACTTTCTTTGTATTTGTTGTTTCAGTGGTACTAAACCTATTATTGTTTCTTATTAGCGATATAATTACTGTATTACCTTTTGAATTTTATTACTTATTACCAGTAATAAGTAATAACGAGTAATAAAATATTACTGTAATTAAGTATTAACAAAACAATAGATACTATATGGCATAGTTAATAAAACAGACAAAGCATTGCTACATGAACAATACGTTTAATCAATGAGTGTACCCAGCAAAAACAAAATGTATGGTACCTTAATGAAATAGAATTTGCACATTGTTTCACATGCTGAATAAAAAATATAGTGTGGACGGGTATACACGTTGAGGTTCTTTTTGATAAAATATTCGTGCCTTTATAATTAAAAGATTAAATTAAATGTATTAAATACTGCCTATTTTTTGACGACAGTATGAATTTGTTTTTTTGGTTATATAGCTCGTCTAATCCCAGGTCGAACAGTCCGGCCTGAAAACGGCCGGTTCCTGGTAGTTCCGTTGATTTTGTGAAAGCAGTATTCCGGTTGGAAATTTTTCTATACATCTGTGCTGAGTTTTATTTTCATTTAAGAAAAGGTGTTGAAGCAAACTTCACATATTTATTTTGAAAGAAAACAAATCTAATTTGTTTATTCAGCTAATAAGACATATATATATATATATATAGTATTTCTTGAATAATACAATAGCTGGGGTGTGAGTGTGTCAGTGGCATGATAACATCCACACCCACACCCATTTAACTCGTTTTTCTTAATACCCTCCTTTCAGTAGAGGAAGAAAACATATTATGTTATGTTTCTATTACTATGTCAGAAAAAATAATCTGATCAGCTAATACTTTTTTTTAAAGAAGAAAATGATAATATTGATTTAATCAATAATGTTAAATTTATACAAAATAATCAACTAGAGACTAAAAAGCTCAATACTATTTCGAATTGTATAATATAGCATTCAGGAATATATATATATATACGAACAGTATGAATAATTCAGTCATCAAAAGATAAATATAATCATAGAAAAAAATAGCTTGCCACGTATGAAGACCCTAAATCGAATCAAATGATTTATCACAAGTTTCAACATTTTCAACTAACGAATAGTCGTAGTTTTGTACAAAAATCAAATGATATACGCATTAAGGGATAAGTAAACTCATTCACCTTTATCGAGCCTAGACAAGCGATTAAAAATTTACTTATGCCAACGTATCTGATATTTATTCAATTGCTTAGGTCACATCTCGACACAAGTCACTGAAAATAACTCAATAGTATGCTTTGAGACAACACAAATATTGACTAAAGAAATATTTTCGTTACTTGAAAACAAAAGTATAAATATCATTGCACAAACTTTGGCATTCATATTATAACAACGTCGAACTAAAAAAATGCACTCTTTTACTATTTTGCTTCTTTGTTTGGTGGCAACTTTAACATTATCAAAAGTAATCTCACGTCCAGGATGTGGTCCATTATGTGCTATGTACTGTGAATATGGCAATGTTATGGATAGTGATGGTTGCCCAATATGTCAATGCGAAGAAAGTCCATGCGAAGATGAACAACGTCCACTTGAAGGATATTTTTGTGGCAGTGGTCCTAGCTATCGTGCGTGTCCATCGACACATCATTGCTTGATTGGTCCTAACGATGATTTCGCTGTATGTTGTCCTCGTCGATAATAAAAATAAGGTCTCTGTTCAAGACGATCAGACATAATATACTTCAGTATTATTTAATGTAGCATTCCAATTGCTTGAAGAAAAAATGACGCGTTCTACAGCTTTTGCAATTTAACCACATAATTTTAACTGCTTAAATAAAATAGCCCATATAATCAGTACATTGGTGAATATAGTGTGTTTCCCATTGAACTTTCCTAAAACTATTTCTATAAGTTTACTTGAATTGAATCGAACTGAAGAGTGATCTGCAAAATAATAGTCAACTATCAAAAATTTTGAAAAAAAAAGACATATTTCTATCTTTGAGGAAGAAAACAATCTTTATTTGCTCTACAATGATTGGCTTTTTAAATTGAAACTCGACGTATTTCACAGGCATATATATCTTGAATTAATATGCATTTGAACGAGCAAACATCTGATGAACTAGAATCCATTTAATTTAATTCATCAACACAATCAAAAGTGAATTTATTATCGTTACCATCATTATCGGAATTAATATTTGAACGATTGATAATAAGAAAATGTAAAAAACAAAGAAATAGTCATCATTAAATTAAACTATTAGTTGATTAAATAGGTTTACAAGTTCCTTTACTGCTTTTGGTTTTGAGTCTTTATCATTGTTATTATTTTGAAAAGCAGAAATGGACACAGGAGACTTGTTATGAACCTTTTTTAGTTCCGCTATTTGTGGTGTTTGTATTACTTCGGCATAAGCGATTTCTGTTAACAGAGGACTTTCTAAACTTTGATCTTCAGTATCTGCTAATATTTTTTCTTCTTGTTTATTCGCTGAAACATCGAGAGGTATATCAGAAACATTTGAATCACATTCAGAATGAATAGATGGGGGATCATTTCTATCGTCAGACGTTTCATTCGATAATGGTTCCTAGAAAAGAAATGACATAGTATAAAATATGAGAAATTTATCCATACTTTTTGTAAATGATTTCCTGGAATCCATGCCAAAATTTTCTCACCATTTACTTGTCGTCCATGCCACCATCCACCGAGAGTTTTATCGTGTATTTCAATACAATCACCGCGTCGAAACGATAAAAAGTCTTCCGTACTACCAGAATAATCACTATGTGCATAATATAACTCAAATTTAGTGTCATTGTTTGGTTCTTTGCTATACTCGTAATCATCGTCATCATCATCCTAGGTCACATAAATAGCAAGTAGAGAAATAAATTGAAATTATTTCTTTTATACCCAATCCGAATCATCAGAGTTATCTAATTCTTTTATTTTAGTAGTAACATCAGATGTATCGACTAAAAATATTCGAAATTCTACAGTAGATTACTTATTAATCGGCTTAGCTTATAATTGTTTCATTAAAAATTTAAATATAAAAAAATCATTACAACTAATATTTACTTGTAGGATTGTCTGGAGTATGTAACATGTCCCACGGTGTTAGATACACTGATGGGAAAAGACCACTATTATCATTAAATCTATGTAAAAATGGTTTTCATTTTCTTGATGACGAAAAACAAAACACAGAATCTTACTCAACACGCCACCAACCTAACACAGATTTTTCAATCACTGTTACACATGAATCTTTAAGTAATGAAATTTCATCCGTCATTATTGCGTCGTATGTTTCATTAACAACATATTTTGTAACTGAAAATAGAATAAATAGAAATCCTTTCAAAAATATTTTCATTCGTACTGATTGATTTATTGAAAGATTCTTCTTGATGATTATTTTGATGTAACTCAGTTGATACTAAAAACGTGGCTGGTGCATAACCTTCTTGATTACCTTTTTTAACAAGCCACCAACCTTAACAGGAGAACTAAGTTATTGTTTTCTTATCCATTCATATATATTAAACAAACCGTTGTCATTATTGTCAAGTACTTCAACAATATCATTTTGTTTGAGTGACATTTCATTTTTGTCGTCTGCATTGAAATCTTGTATACATCGAAAAGTCGCCAATTTCGTTGAGTTATTTATATCTATTGAGCTCTTGCTTATTAATTTACTCTCATCCACATTTAGTTGTATAGGTTTTTCTTTATCAGTTTTTAATGGGCGAAAAAATTCAAGTATTGGGCGAGATCGAGTAATGCGTTCAGGTAATGAAAATAATTTCTACAGAGTATTTTGTTTTTATCAATATTTCTATTTAGTGTAACAATAACAGCTGAAGTAAATACCTGGCAATATTCATCAAGAGTTGTTTTTCGTTCCGCAGCAATTTGATGTATTTGACTTCGACCGAGTATAATTTTACCTTGACAAGATTCATAAATCATTTTAGACAGATCTATGGCATTTTTTTCTTACCAGGAAGATAGGGAATACGATGATTTGATCTTAATCCTGTCGCAACTAATAGATTCAATATTCTACACTAAAATTTATTTATTGATTTGTCTATCTCCTCCATCGTGTATAAAGCTTTTTACTTGAAGATCGAAAAATTGGTTATAGCGTCGATAGATAATAAATAGATTTTCAGAATTCGACCAATTAACTTCGATCACATAGACCTACAATTTCATAAATATTTTATTACAGTAATGTTTTTTGTTGTTGCATATTTGAAACCGACATAATGTTTTCCTCCTGGTTCGTAGCGTTTTTCAACATTAACTATTTTAACACTCTTTATATATGCAGTGTCATTCGATGATTTTTATTATTCATCTAAAATGTAAAGCTCAATATTTTTTTTGATTTTCATATTATTAAAATACAAAATTAGAATTTAGTTTTTTTTTTCAATCTGCAATAATAAATCAATAATCTAAACAATTAAAAAGGGTTTATGAACAAATTATATTATATCGACTGATCGACCTTCAACATCTAGATCTATTTACTTGTTACTAGAACTGCAGACTTGAGAATAAAAAAGCATTTATTTTTACTGCTATTTTATATAAATATGTCAATAGTTCTTTTATCGAATACATCATTAAAAAGCCCTATTCACAAATATCATAAGAATACAATAAAATAGAGAATAAAAACGAACTTACTCAGTGCACTATTCTCGTATAGGTCATTTTTATGTTTGAATAGTTTTGCTGTTATATCGAAACAGTCAAAAGAACAATGGATTTGATCTAAATAATAATTCTGATTTTGAGCAGTAGCATAGGTCCATTTTAGAATGAAATAAAAATATTAAAATGCATATCTTGTGATTCATATATCTTTTTAGATATTTAGTTAAAACAAAAGATAAGAACTTTGTCACATTCTTACATGTTTTATTATTATTAATGTGTCGTATATCAAAAAATAAAAATATGCTTGTTTTGATGAAATCACATAGATGTATACTGATATTGAATGAAGCTGTTCTTATCATAAAACTATGTCATCAAAAATCATGACAGTAAATGAAAATATTTTATGAAGTTAATCGGAAGTTTGCTTGTTATTTGCCATAGAAAACCATTCAGCAAACTTGCCCCTGTAATTTAAAACTTTCATACGATTTAACAAATTAATTCAGCTATTCTTTTTTTTTGTGGTGGTTTGTATGATTAATGGAAATATTGTAGGAGGAAGTTCTGTTGACATGATTAGGTACGATGAGTTTTGCTCGTCAGTAGGCAGTTTTTTCTTAGAAACAATATGCATGTAACAATTCTTAAGATATCGACTAATATTTTGATTTCATTTTCATTTATTCAATTGTTAAATTATGATTTTTTTTCTTTGTAGTTTCATTTGTCAGAATTTGTAAAACATTTTCAACGGATGCAAAACTAGGTGACGTCGATTGTTTATCATTTCTATGACTTTTAGTTTCTAGTATCCAGTTGGTTGGTAGATTTGACATCTTTTAAGGCTTTTTATCTTCTTTCTGTTTCCACAAGGTAAATACCAAAGCAGTTTGTTTTCCATATTTTAAATTCAAAATTAACCCATCGATGAAATTAGATGCTGACGACTTTGCCAAAAAATTTCAATTCGCTTTCATCTTTTTATTTGGTCGCCTGCTGTCTTTTATAAAGGACTCTATTTTTTTACTAAAATCCATTAACAATGGCTTAAGTATGGTGTATCAATTGCTGGTAGATCGTTTTTCAATTGATTCTAAATATTTCGATTAATGTCGGACATCTGTTATCCAACAATAAATATGAGTTGTTTGATCTTGTTTTGGATGATTGTGTTTAATTGATTGAATCAATTAAGAATTTGACTACCTACATTGGCAGAAGGAGTGATTTTATCATTTGTTGTGCTTTATTGTTTTAACACTTTACCAGACATTTTTCAGGCTCAGTATAATTCTGGTCAATTTTCAAAGTGGGATATTAACACTTAGAAAAGTGTTATAGTCAAGAGTTAATTTATTCGTAGATTGAGCCCTTTTTCATTTATTTATTGAGCATCGTTTTTTTTATTAAAGAAAATTTAAAACTTAATCTTACAATATTCTGTCTAAGACTTTAAAAAAAAAAGAAAAAAAAAGCTTATTAAATATCTTTGCATACACTCCAAAGATTCGTTGTCATGCACAATGCATAACAAAATAAAAAGACGGAAAGAAAGAAAGAAAGAAAGAAAGAAAGAAAGAAAAAAAGGAACGAAAAGAGTTTTAAAATAAATCTTTAAGCTCATCAAATCTCTCAAACTTGGTTTTTTTTTCATATAATCATTCATTGTTAAACAATTATTAAACCTTACCTGATTCGACGTCGTTTGAATGTTTTTTATTCGAGTTGAGAGACAGAGAGAAAGAAGAGGTCGGCTCAAACACCGAACACAAAATAATAGAACAGATCATACTAGAAAGAAAAGAAATAGAACACAGTGCGGATGTACCGCATTACACTGAAACGAGAGATTTTGATTGAGGATGATATATGGGAACGACGGGAAGAGAGAGAAAAGAAATAGAGAAAAAAAGAGACAAACGGAGAAAAAAAGGATTTTCATCGATCTTAGGACGTGGCTGGTGTCACCGTCATGTGGAATTCACCACCATTACCACTTGTAGGTGATGTTCCTGCAGTGGCTATTGTCCGAGAAGTGGATGACATTGATGGCGAAGGAGATAAAGATGTGGGAATGAGCTGATCACCGGCTGAATTCGCATTTAGTATTGTCGAATGAATTGAAGTCGATGTTAAAATATCAGATGACATAGGAGGTGATGATGACGACGAAGAAGATAAAGGCTGAATTGAATCCTGATGATGTACTGATACAATATGTATATTAGTCGGAGAATTTGATAGATTTCCAGTCGTCGTTGATGACGATGATGATGATGGAGGCGAAAGGCGAGCTTGATACCAATCACGATTTTGTTCTAATGTCTCTAGAATAGCACTTGCATCTGGATAGACTAGATCGGCCCAAGTTTCCCATAGTGGATGTACAATAAATTCAATGAAACCAACCTAAATAGACATTTTGTTTTTCATTAGTTAATATAAACTTACGGAATTCTCTTTTTTTTTTTATAAAAGAAAGTAAATAATTACAAACCTGATGTTTTTCTACGCTAGCTACATGTCTATCACACATAGGTGAGATTTCTAATCCAAGGTCACGCTCTTTATCACCTTGTCTCCAAAATTCTTCCATTATTCGATCAGTCCATTTAATATAAATATCTAATGGTTTAGTTGGATTTGATAAATCAGCACAATGAATCATATTTTGAAGCACCTGTATTCTATCATCATATGATTCGAGCATAATTATATTATTTCCAGTGACTTTTTTCGATTCAACCATTGTTTTTAAATCTGCTAATAATTTCATATGTTTCGACATATCTGTTGCTAAAACCATATCAATCACCATTTTACGTAATGTTTTTATTTGTTTGGCTGCTAAATTTGAAAATATATTCCGTTCATCAGCTTGTAATAATTTAAATGCAACGGCTAAATGATGATTTTCTAGTACACTTTCATCATTATACATTATCGCCAAATCATTTCCTAGAAAAAAACAAAAATAAGAAACGATAGACTTTCATTTTCATAATACGTACTAGTATTAATTAAAAATTGATTTGTTACACCGGGATGATCAACATCGTGCACTGCCGATGCGAATATAGCCGACATGATCTCCAATTCAGTGAACACGCCCTTTTTATTATTAAATAAATATATAGATGGAAAATTTTCCTTTTTTTTATTCTCTCTCTCTTACGTCGAGTGCCGAAGCATTGAGCAATACATGCATTGATTGACAAACATCAGCTCCGTGAGCTTTATTATGATATGGTACTTGTTGATAATGATCTTCAAGTGTGAGCAAATAAGAAATTAATGTATGAGGTTCAATAGCATATGTCCTTAGTAGAAAACGTTCTTGAAATATTTTATATGTTATTGCTGTTAATGGTCGTTGACCACTTAAATCTTCAATACGAAATGTATCTAAACCCCAATCATCAATATGACTCATTAATGAACGTAACTCATCAGTATGAAATGTCTGAACGCCTAGTTCTGGTATTGAATCTTTTCTTGGTAATAACGATGTTGGAGGCTGTAAACCGGTAATTTGTCCCATTAATGTTGATGTTGATATTGATGTATCAGTAGTTCTTGATTTTATTATTGTATTTGATTCATCATTTGGAAGACCACGTGGAGATGATATAGTTTGAGATAGATCAACATCAGGTTCTTTTTTGTCTATTTTAAAATAGAATAAAAATATGTTTATTTTCATTTCATTAAATAGTTCTATGTATACCTGTATATGTTGAATATAAATAATCACTAATTTGTGCGCCGGATTTATTATTTTCGGCAAAATGAGATAATTCTTTATTGAGCATACGCTTAAACTAATAAGGAAAACAAAATTTCATCAAACATGACTTTTCTTTTTTACTTTGAGCGAAGCTAAATCAGAAACCGATTTATGTGTTTGCATTGTTTCTAATTGTTCTAGGCACCAATCAAGCTCTTCTAATGTAGCTATTGCTTGTGATACTGAATTATCATCTTTAATAACGAGAACGAGGGAGAGAAAAAAAGAATCAATTTCTATCAATAAAAAAATATATAAGAAAATCTAATACCGGATGTTGCTGCCGCTGTTGACATCGCTGTCACCTTCGTAACATTTGATGAAGCAGCTTGAGCACAACCAAGTTGACTTGATCTTTTCGCTCTTAAATAAATATAGGTCGAAAAATTAAATGTTTATATTAAAATTATTAAATAAAAAAAATCATTCTGTTTACCTTTCGGGAGGGATGTGAGTAAGATCGACAAAATTTTTCCGTACATTTTTAAGACTGGCAAGCAGTTGGGCAAATGGAGTGACAATCATGTCATCCTGGTGCCTGTAGCAGAAATGACAAAAATAGTAATAATAATAATAATAATAATAATAATAATAATAATAATAATAATAAAATAGTAATCTAAGGTATGTCTGTCTCATTACAAAAAAGATCGATCTTTTTCTTTAATTGCTTCCGTCTCTTTTTTTCTCTCTTGTTCTTCTTCTGCGCCTGCTGTTAACAAGACTAAGTCGATCACGCATTGTATATGTTGATATGCATATAAATTTATTTATTTATTTACATACACATACATACAATAGATAGAACTACATACAATCAATTACACATACCACTCGATATCATTCATACTTGTTGTACTAGATGCACGATCATTCTTATACTTATTGTCGCGTTCGCTATTAGATGACGCGTTGTGAACGGTAATCGAGCGACAGATTTTCATACGTTGTTTGGTTAAAAAACTACTATTGCTACTGTGCATATCTTCTTTTTCTATTGGTGGATATAAAATATATTTGCAGATCGGCAAAATTCAAATAGGCACAATAAAAAGAACAAAGGACGAAGAGTCGTATAAGAGTAAGTACGAATGGAAAGACTAATAAGAATGGCGGAAAATATTAAAAAAAAACAACAAAGACGAGACACGCCATCATTCTATGTAGAGTCATCATTGTCATTTTTCTTTTTCTACTAGCAGGAGAGAAAAAAGAATGCAATGAGAGAACAAGAGCTACAATACATCAGCAACAAAATTAAGAAGAAAATCCGAGAGAAAAAAAACGAGAAACGACACTGAGCAAATGAGTCTTCTCGTTAAAAGAAAAGCGAGCTTCATTTTCATCTAACTATCACTTATGTCAATGGAAATTACAAGAACTGCATATATGACTTAGATACATGAAAGGAAAAAACAAATGATGATAATTATTAGGGAGATGCAAGTCGACAATTCTTTTTTTATCAGCTTGACTAACTTAGTTGGTAGAGTATAAAACTCTTGATCTTAATGTCATGGGTTGTAGACTTACGTTAAGTGTTTATTTTTCCAGTATTTTCTTTTTTTTCTAGTCTTGATTATTCAGACATACATTAATGACAGTCTTGACTTAACTATTCTTCCACTTTACTTTTGACTCTCGTCAAGAGTTTTGTTTTTCTTTCGGCTGTGTCTCCGTATGTCCGTTTTTCTCTGTCATATTCAATTCTTGGCATTCTTTTTTTTCCTTCTTCTTCTTCTATTCAGGCATTGCAACAAATCTTGCTGTGATCGTACGTGACAATGTGTACATGTTATTAGTTTAGCAGATTACAAACAGTCAGATCGTACGATGCATACAAGCATCTATAAATTAGCTAAGAAAATCAATAATAATTTCAATAAAAAATAAATAAAGATAAATAAAAGAAAACGTTATTTAGATAAAGTACTCAAAAAAACGAAAAAAGTAATAAAAATTTACTTTTTTCTCTTTGCTTTCTTTTTAGTTTTACTCTTATATTCTTATGTCAACGAACAAATGAAGTGATAAAAGAATAATCTCAAGAGAAACAGTGATTTGATAAGGAAAAGCAAAAAGTGAAAAAATCAGGATAAAGAAATAACCCCATATTATCCAGAAAACATGGCACGTACGTTGACGATCAAAAGCAAGTTCATTTTGACTAGGTAAACAAGTTGTTAATGTAAATAAATGGTCGACAAGTGTCCAATTCGGTCTTACTGTACAGTCACCGAGTCGTCAATAATGTCTAATGTTTCTGTTACAACTACTAATAGTTCTATTCTATATTCTCATTTATTTACTTCTTTGTTGTTACTAGTTGGTGCGGATGAATTGTGTGAGAACGAGGGCAAAGGAGACAGCTATAAGGAGCATGAGTAGGGCCAGAGAGTGAGCGCGAGATGGGAACATAAGATAAGAAACAAATGTGTTCGTGGTGTAGTTGTGTCAAAAAACGCAAATGAAACAAATTCTGATTGCGATGCAAGAACACATCTCTGGCACCGGACGTGTAAGAAAAAATAGTAAATATGAAATAACGATATGAATAAAGAAAACAAAAGAAAATAGCTTAGAAAATAGGCCTAATATTCCTATGAGATGTAAAAACAGACGAAAAGAAAAAAACATGTCAGGGAAAAACATCCAGATAATTATTTAATTGTTGAAACTACAAAATGTATCAATATTAATCTTACTTGCCAGATAATTTTGAACCAAGTCTAAGAATCGGTTTTTTAATGGCGCTCTTGACACGCTCCATGATACTTGTTCTCGTTTTTTTATTGATCACTCACTCACATTCACACACACACACACACTTACTCTCTCTCTCTCTCATTCATCGATAGCGCGGCATATGTTCGGTTCGAAGTGGGTAGCCAACAGAGAGTCAGACGCATAAACGCGTGCCTCACAACTACCAGGGGTACAGTTGGCAACGAGAGAAAGACGAAAGAACGATCGCAAAAAGAAAAAGAGAAAGAGAAAACAAAAACGAGGGCGCATAAGAAAGAAAAGCAATTCTCCTTCTTTTCTTTTTCTCTTCTTTGCCTTCCTTTCTACTTTTTTTTATCGATTCAACATATATTCTAACTACTTACAATTCAGATCCGATGGATGGATTGCGCGAAATACATTTTGGTGAAAGATCATTGTCACTGTCATATTTATACAAAAATGATTCACGTCGATGCATTCCACCACTACTACTAGCTGTTGTGTTTGCTTTATTAGGTGCATTTGCATTTGTTGAACCATGTTGCTGATTTTGTGACGGGCTGGATGATGTACTATGATGGGCATTGAGAGCACCATGTGGTGAGGATGAACCATCGACATCGAAACTAAGATAGATAAAAGAAAAAGAAAAAAATTAATAAGAACTTGCTTTGGACTTGTTTTTAGAATTAATTTATGAATGAATGAATGAATGACTTTTTCACATCTCGTCCATATTATTACTCAACTGCTTTTTTAGTATATCTTTCGAATAATTATACGATGGTTCACATTCATTTTTACAAGTATTAGAATACATGTATACAGGTACGGGTGTAGGTGTGTGTATGTGTCTCTGTATAAGTATCACTTCAATTCGATCAATAAAAAGAAATGACTCGTTAGAATAAAACAAAACAATCAGGACGACGATGAAGCACTAACAGCAAATAGAAGCCCGAAAACGAAAGGAAAAAAATAAAGAAATATATTTGTGTAAAGTCACGCTTCATTTATTATTTTCCTTTTCGGATGCCGAGATAACCAAATAAGCTCTGGTATAATTTTTTTTTCTTATTTTTGCTTTAATTGAATTAATTATTTTCATTAAATGAATATCAAAACAAGAATTTTTTAAAATTAATTTTCCACTTTTTCTTTGATAGATTATATAGAATAGAATTGTTTCATAATTATTGTTAACTTTAATTTCCGTTTTATTTTCTTCTAGCGTAAACAATTCATCTCTTCGGCATATTTATCTTCGTTCTAAACTAAATCTTTTTTTCTTAATGCAAATTCTCTGTTATTAGATAGTCATAGCTGGAATTCCTCTCTCAAGTTTTCCTCAATCTTTAATCTACTGCATAGTAACAAAGAGGAAAAACAATTACTGCTATTTTTCTTCTTTTTCTTTTTGGTTTGTCATTACGAATATAAACGTAATTAGTTGAATATTTTCTGCTTCTTGTTTGGAATGCTTTTTTAGCAACAAAGAAAACAACGACGACACGAAACATCTAAGCTATTTCGAAGATATCATTAGTTTATAGATAAATTAATCTTCTTAATATATATATATATATATATAAATCTCTGTGGAAACACAAGAATATATTCATACTAACGAAATTTCTTTCCTATAGGGAAATTCCTAGTTTTTTCCCTTATTTCTGTTATTACTCTATTTATTCATCCCTCTTAGTAACAAACATCGTTGTTTTCCAATAATGGATCGAATCTTAGTTAGATACTCATGCATGATGAAATCTTAACAGGGTATTTTATTTCTTACTTGTGTTCGCACTGATATACTTGTAGACTTTGTCGGAAACTCGGTCTCATATCATATGAGAAACTTCGAATATTCTTCTTCACAAATATCGGGTCCATATATGATGAAAAAAGTTTAACCAAATTAAATTCTATGTATAAACAACTAAATTAAAACAGATGGTAAATCTGTTTTATGTCGAAAAATTACCTTCGCATTCGGATGCATTTTTCTATTTCTTCTGACTTTGTTTTGACACTTCTCACAAGGACTCTAATTCATAACATTAAGTAGAAATGAATGAAAAATTGACTCTATAGAGAATCTATGCATAGCTATACACAATCGGGAACAATATTGATAAGAAGGTTTTATAAAGTATTCGATTGGTCACATATGAGACTTAATGTTAATATGATCTTTTTTAGATATGTACAAGAATATACATAGAAAGATCGACAGCTGGTTACCAATTATGCTGTGTTGTGCGACAGGAAGTCATCGATCATTTTGACGGCTCGAAAAACAAATATCGATATAGAGAAAACTTTTCGAAAGAGAAATAGGAAAAACCGACCTTATTCCACCATCAATATCTACTCTTTTGTTGCGGACTGACTGTCGAAGACTACGACGAAACGTAAATCTACGACGTAAACGTGATGGTTGATCTGTTGAAGAATTCCCTGCGTCAGTCGATTGTTGGTTTTGTTGTGATTGCTGCTGCTGCTGCTGTTGTTGTTGCTGATGATGATGATTATTTTGTTGATTATGCGGTGGAGTTTGTGAATTGGATGTAAGTGCTAATGAAGGTGTTTCATTAAATCTTTCGAAAAATGTTTTATTTCGCTTTGTTAATACGCCACCGGTTGGCATTGTTTGTGTGAATGATGTTGAAGTTTGCACAGCAATACTTGATGGTGTTGCTGTTGTTGTTAAAGGTGTTGAGTTTTGCATGGTTTGAATTATTGTATTTGATGCTATAGCAGTAGTTGCCGGTATTGATGATGATGAAGGTAATTTTGATGATGAAGCAAAATATACAGTTAGAGTCGTCATCAGAAGAGAATAATGATCACGATGACGATGATGATAACGACAATTATAGTATCGAGGTAGAAATAAAGTGGGAAGAATAGGTCTGAATTTCAATGTCGATTAGCCACAAAAAAAAACGAAAGGACAACAACAGCAATAAATCGAGATTTTTCTACGTTCTGTTTTCTTCAGTCACCAGAAGTAACGACCAAGAGTGTGAGAGAACGAAGAATGAGACAGTTGGAATAATGAAGTAGAGACCGAAGGAAAGAGGGAGACAGAGAGACAGAGACACAAACATGGAGACAGATGCATAGCAGATACAACGGTGCTGGTATGCTGATGTTCTATCATGGCAGTAGTATACCGGTCTTTCCGTTCGGTTTAGTAGCACGCAAGTAACTAGCAAACAGTAGCTACTGGTAAGTATAACTATGTGACACAAGCAAGCGAGAGAAAGAGAGATGAAGAAAAGGGAGACAAAACTTACTTAAGATTGAGGAAGGCAATCATCTTAATGGACTCTCACGCTTTATCTCATCATGACCATTTAGACACATTCAAATGTATACGCATACGCAGAGCTTCATGTTAGCAAGTCTATTCATCGTCGATCGAATGAAAGGCAACTACTCGAATTAGAACGGATAGCAATCTGAACGACAACGTTTATTCATTTTTCTTAGCTGTTACATTAGGTAACATATAAAAACAAACAAAGGTCTCATCTTCTTCTTTTTCTATATATAATTTTCTTATTTTCAATGCCATTTCAAATGAGAAATATATAGTCTTGATATCTCTGGAGACATTTACTTCACACAAATGTGTGTCGTCCGCTCAGGAAATTTGAGCATTTAAAAAAACATGTACGGCAATTTTTTTTACTTATTTTCTTTGGCTATTTTCATAAATGCAAACTTCCTCACTATTCTTGAGCTACTTCCGGTTGTGATGTCTATACATACTTCAATGGTAACGTAAGGTGAAAGACATCTTTACTTCATGACAAAAGAAAACAAATAGTCTCCTAAAGCTATGATACGATTAAACAAATCTTATCTTTTCTTGTTATCTAATGAATACAATATTCTCTATAGAAACAACTAAAATAAGATCATTTTCAAAAAAGCGATACAGATAAATTAGATGTTTATTTATACGGAAAAGAAAACAAGAACGATGAAAAAAATATTCAAAAATTTAGTAAAAAAAATTATTTTTCCCTTTCTATCGGCTATAATCCTATTTCTAAACAGTTGTTGAGCCATGTGCAACGGTATGTTGGCAAGGACAGAGAAAAATCGTTTCCGAAACTTTTTTACATGATTTGCTTTAAAAATAAATACTTCTGTATCAGCAACATGTATACAAATATATATGTAAAATAGTGTTTTGTGAATTTCTTCGTTTGTCAACATTGACATTTATCTCTTTTTTTCTTCTTCTACAATTATAGAATTTCAACTAACATCCTATGCTAAAAGGAAAGTGTAAAACGTGTAAAGCATGTACACAAAAAAAAATACCATTATCACTAGTAAATGTGCTCGTGTGTATGTGTATATTATGTGGAATTCTTTTTTTGCGATTGAATCTACTCTAACGGGTTATTATTATTGTTATTAACGGAGCTATGCATTATAAAAATATATATAAATGTTTTTTTTTAATTATTTTTAGTAGTGAATATTTTAATTTCTTTTTTTTTTTCGCTTGTTTTATCATTCAACACGCTTGCACAGTGATAGACACAAATGTGTATGTTTATGATGATATCTACCTTTTATCTTATCTTGTACAGTTGAACTTGTTTGAGTGAAAATATAAGAAAGAAAAAGAAGGAACAAATAACTTTTCTTTTTCGTTATTTCATTTTTTTCGGTTACTAAAAATTTTTTTTTCATATATAATAAGAGTATCGTTGTTTGTTAAGTTTTTTTTATTTCTTCAAGCGCAATAAACAATTTTGGTAGGTGCACACGCGAGCTGCCAATTTTTTGCGTAAGAATGTGTGTGTGTGTGTGTGTTATTGTAACTGATGAAAAGTCGATAGATGAGAACAATAAAAGAATGGCTGTGTTTTATTAAAAAAAAATGAAGAAATACTTCTGCATTAGATTTCTTTCGACTTTCAATAGAAATATTTAATGCATTAGCAGTCCGGGATAGAAATCCTCAATGCGCACAATATAGCTTATCAAGAATTTGCATAAAAAAAGAGGCCATAATGATTCTTTCAATCAATGGCTATATTTTGTTAGATTTACCTGGTTTTGTTGTTGATTTTAGTGTTCCTACTATGATTAGCGTTGGTAGGTGTACGCCGTCGCAATATAATACGACCGAGACGAATGAGCAAAGGTGGAGTTCGAGATGAAAGATTTGGGGAAGAACGAATAGGAATAGTAGTAATATCTTCAGCAATTGAACTTTGCCGTCGACTGTTATTCGATGAAATGCAAGATGCACAAGTCGATGCCATTCCACCACGCCGGCGACGTTTCTTCGCTGGTTTTGTTGAATTTGTTATTGCCGATGCTGTTGTTGTTGTTGTTGTTGTTGTTGTCGTCTTTGGATGTGCATTTCGATGATTTTGATTTAATGAAGTCGAATGCGGACGTGATGAAAGATTCGGTGTCGAACTTTTTCGACGTGTATAACCAGTCGTAGAAGCTTGTTCGACCGATGGTATTTGATTTGAGCGTTTTCTCGCGCCGCAACATCGAAATGGAAAGGAACGGGTTGTTGGTGATGAAAAAGAGGTCGGGGATTGTGGATATGAGGGTGACAAGACTTTGTTTTTATTTCGAGTAACCAATGGTCGAATAGTTGTGGCTAGTACATCCGACGATGATGACGATCGTGTGATCGAAATGACCGGCGGTGGGGGACTATTGGTGACACTCGTGATTGACTTCTATGTGAATGACGACGACAACAACGATAAAGAACCGAGAATCGGCATACACGCGAGAAACGACTAGAGCAACGTTGCTTGTTGTTGACGAGCCACACACGCGAGCGGACGCGTTTCTTCTCTTTCGCTCTGTGTCTCTCTCCTTCTTTCTTACTCTTAGTCGCTATTGCTGCTGCTGCTGCTGCTGCCTGCTGCTGCTGTTGCTGATGATGATGCGAACAAGAGAGAGAGAGAGAGAGAGAGAGAGAGAGAGGGAGGGAGGGAGAGCAATGACGATGGTTTTGGTGGTCGTGGCACCCAGGGCAACGCCAGAGTAAAACATGGGATAAGAAACAGAACGGGCGAATACAATAACGCAAACGAAAGAACGATCGCCCTTTTTCTCCTATACCGTTTTTTCCTCTATTTCTTTTCCTTTTTTCCTTCGATTCTTTTTTCTTCTGTCTGCAACATATGAATGGAGTGGCACTGTAAGTTGCAAAAGACGAGGTGTACGTGCATGTGTGTATAGCGGTAAAGGCAAACGAACGAACATTGACGACGTTTTTTTTTGCGTTCTCGCTTGCATCTAGCTGTTACAGCAGTTCCCATCAACGCTATTCTAACAGCAACAACAACTATAGAACTGACAACAACAAGGCAGATACAGAAACATATCAGTAACGTCGTCACCATCCTAGCCAGAGCAAGTTAGAGTACCATAATAGCGAGCGAACAAGACAGGAAAAATTTTCTTGCTTAGTTTTCCTCAAGGTCGTTGTTCTCTTCAGTATGACACATAGACATACGCAAATACGAACACACAAACGGGTGTGCCAATCAGTGTTGTATATATATATATATATATGCGTGTGTGTGTGTGTGTGTGTGTGACGAAAACAAGCCGCGCTCTTCTGCTCCCCATCTATCAACACCAAGAGCAAAAAAGAGACGATGACATGGAATATTATACATAGGATAAAATGATCGAATGAAAGATGGCGCCTTCACCTGGCCTTCCAGGATGGGATCGTTTTTTTCCTCATTTCGTTAATACGATATGACAATCACATGATTAACATGTCACGAACAATTACTTATATCACAGAAACCATAATGTAAAATTGTGACTAATAGATTTATTTGTATAAATAATGATATAATATTCGAGTTAAGAAACCAATATGTTTTAAAATAAATGCTTTTTTGAAAAAGAAAAGATGAATGCGTTTCTTTTTGGCAAATTATGCTTAAACACATATGTTCTCCTGTAAACAGAATCTTCGGTGAAATATGTTTCAGTAAAAAGAAGAAGAAGAAAAATGACAATACAAATAGAGAGAAAACATAATTGTCGTTTTCAACATCACTAAGTCAATAGTTAAGAATGACATGTTATTTACAATTAGTGTCTTTCCGATTTTATATGAGTCATATTTTCTACAATAATAATTGAGTCTATCTAGACCCGATTGAACCGATAAAAACAGAAGCGTTATTATGTATTTCTTTTTTTTTTATTGTAAAGGGTACTCAACATACAAATATATATATATATATATAGGCAAATAAAATCATTGAACTCTTATAAATGAAAACTAATACTTATTTTTTCGTTGAAAAAAAACTACATTTTAACTGACTTACTGATGCTGTTCTGGTGGCGTGAATAAAAATTTCATCAATTATGAAATGATTTTTACGGAATGGCATGAGATCGTTTTGTTTTTCGACCTTTTTGATATCAAGATGAAAAGAGAAAGAAAAAGAGAAAGAAAAAGAAAAAGAAAAAGGTGAAACTATGGCATAGTTCTCTAAGCTATACTCATAAGTGATAAGTCACGCATAAAAAACTTAATTAACGGTTTTTTATGAGAAGAATGTTGCCCTGTGCAATTTTAATACGTAGATTGAACTATTTTATTAATTTAATTTTTTTATTTGCATACAAAATAAAACTTGCATAGTCGGATTGCAAGAACGTAATATTTAAAACAACAAAGTCAACTTAGTTTTTTCTTCTTTGCTCTATTAAATCTTAATAAATTCTCTGATATACCTCTCTCATTAATATATACAGACGATTTTTGTAACTTCACGATGCTATGAACAGATGTCAAGAGATTTAAGAGCAATAGAAAGAAAAAACGGTGAAGGATCATTATCGTGAAAAAAAATTTTTGAATCATTTGCGATAGAAACCAAATAACCTTTTAAAATATGAATATTAAATCTTATAGAAACATAACTAAATGAATCAATATAATAGCATTTGAATGATATGAATAAATATTTTTTTTTTGCATATTATATTATATATTTAATGAAGTATATAGTTCAAGTAAAATATTCTTTTTTACTGTGAATATTTTGTCAACATTGTTGTTATTGGAAATGGTAATGAAGTATAGAGAAATGTTGGATAACTATTAGAAAATGTAAAAAAAGAAGCTGCAACATAGAGAACCTCTATTCAAAAGAGCAATTTTCTCATTTTAGTAGTCAAAAGAAAATATTTCACTAGGAAATATTTTTCTATTACTGACTTTTTCCTATGCTTGCATTTAAGTCTAACAAAATATAAAAACAAAATGCTCACTTAACACGTTTGCCACTCAGTGTTGGTCCAATGGAGTGACGACGTTCGATCAAAGGTAGAGTAAGAAAACGTCGGTAAAAATCCATTTATCAACTCATTAATACGGAAATAGATATGAGCAGCAAAGAAAAGAGCCTAAATGTTTCTCGTTTTATCTTTAAAAGTGACGCAAACATACGGAAATACATGCATATGTCAATAGTGAACATCGGAAGAAAAATGACAATAATAAAACAATACCAGCACATATGCAAAAATGTAATCACACACTATTTTCCTTCAACATCGGTATTTACTATCTTTATTTTTATACTATCCGTTTTCTCTTTTTTTCTCTCCTCTTCTTCTCTCATTTTTTTGCATAATAAACGTCAAGAACATGACGACACACCTGATGTTGTATGTCATGAATGAAAACTCTCACCTTTCAATAGAATCTGCATTGTTAGTGATAGTTATAGCTGATGTGGCAGTATGATTACGGTGTGATGGCCGCGATGCAACATTTCCCCATGAATGTCGACGTTCAGGATTAAACGACGGAACAATAAGGAAATGGGGTCTAGATGATGATGTCGATGAACTCGATTCTGGATCGGTATCGACTTCTAATGACATGATGATAAACTGCTTGTGTTTTTTTATGTTTTTCTTGGTTGGTATTTTATATAAACGAACTGACACACGATTTATTTGAAAAAATAATTAAACACGTAGAAAGTAACGCACATTAATACTTTCACAAGGCGGATAGCAGCTATTTGTATCTTGTGAATAGAAAATAGAATTGTCGTCTGAATCAATTATTAAGACTGTGACGAGAGAATAAGAAGAGAACAAAGACAAAGTCCGTTTTATCGAAATAGACAAAAGTAGAACCAGCAAGATAGTGATTGAGATGGAGAGAAGAAAAGCTTAATGGTGATGTTAACCGAGCAAACGGATGCTATTAATTTATATGGGCGAGAGATAGTGCTATACTCGTTTTCTCGTTCTTTCGTTCTCTTATGATGTTGTTCATATATTCAATGAGGAGTTTACATCAATAAAATAGAATAGTGAATGATCGACGACTTGGTGAAAATCTGATAACACCTGTTGACGGATGCTGTTTTAAACAGCTATTGTCTTAGTACTAGAACCCATTTGTATCATAACAAATCCCATATCTATATTTACACTTGAATAACATATATATGTGTAAGAGAAAGAAAAGAGAAATATGGAATGAATTTTCGTCAGAAATATGAAGCGTAATGATACAATCATGATCGAGCACCACTAGGACATATCGTTGGAATCTCTCATTTGACGACCGTTATATATATATATAAGAAGAAAGAAACCAAGACGCAATCGAATCTTGTTACCGACACTTTCTGTATATATACAACTCGGTATGTGATGTGTGTGTGTGTGTGTGTGTGTGTGTGTGTGTGTGTGTGTGTGTGTCTGTTCCTTTTTTTCTTCATTGTTTGTTTTTTCTCGATTTGTCTTGTCATTGACCTACACTATTCATTCGCGTTCTTCTATATGAGTGATTTTTCTAATCAAACAAGTGTAATCATTATCTTGTGCTGTTCGTGCATTTTCCTTGAGTATGTCTGTCACAATCGGTCTTGATGATAGTTACCCGATTGACGAATATGCACTAGCAAATAACTGGCAAAAGAAAACAGAAAAGAAAGGGATAAATTAGCCTCTGTTGATTTCTTACATATTTATTCATACATGTTATTCTTAGTACTATTAATAAATAACTGTTTAATATCATGATCCGTTATCATGAATAAATCAGAGGCAGTAATATCATTATTATTATTCTTCATTTTATCTGCTAACTATGTCTATTTCTTATTCACGTATCATTAGTATACTATCGAAACCGAAGGGAAAAGGGTGTCAACACAAATGTGATTGATTACAGAGCACGATAATAAAAAAGTTAAAAGAAACAATAGGATCTTTAACAAAAAAATGAGAAAGATGACAATTTCCGCCATATAGTCATAAACAATTTTCTTTCTCTTTTGTAAAGAACAAAAAAAAAGAGCCGTAGAATTCGATTAATAATACCTAAAGTTATTTCGAGTAGTTATTCAATCAAGCGTATGCGAGTAACCATGGATGCATATCCTAACAACTACATTTCAACGTAAAGATATACATCAATTAAGATTATATATTCCTTTGCTTTTTCTATTCATTGTATGCAATGACAAAAACCGAAGGATGTTTACTAGAATGAGAATGTTAAAAAAGAAACAAATCCGCGATTCTTTTAGTCAAAGAAGAAAACGTCTTTCTTATTTACATGAAACTGATTTTGTTTTTCAACTATTTTATTCGTCGATTACTATCAAAATTATTCTTTAGTCGAATATTATTCAATAAGATAAATAAAATCAAGCACAAATATTTCTCTTTTGGATTATATAATACTCGTATCATAAAGCTATTATGTTTTATGATCATCGATGTCTTTTGTTGTTTCTTTTTTAATTTTATTTCGTAGATAAATTATATTATATTCACTTCGCTTGACGAGACAAACACTTGTTTGTGCCATAAATAATACAATTTGATATGATTCAAGAAATTAATCAAATCATAATAAATTACAATAATAAATATCCTTTTTTTACCTAATTAGAACCAAGAAAAAAATGTATACCTTCGTGTGCGAAATGCAGCCTGAGCAATACGACGTCGACTAGCAGCGGCAGCCATTAATTTGTGTTTATCTCATATGCAAAAAATAAAATGTTCATCATATAGAAGCACGCACAGGATGTCGATTGCTTGCAGTTAGTTGAAAGATCACGATACTCAGAGATAGTGACGGTATTAATATTATTCTTCTACGTTCACAATCTTTATCTAACTTTCTCTTTTATTTATCGTTTCTGTAACAGGAAAGCACAATTTTTATACTATACTCTGTCAAACATCTATACTGAAGATCGCTAGAGCGTTCATTTGTAGTTCTATAAAATCTACTCGTTGTTGTGCTGTTGACATAACTGCTTTCTCTCTCTCTCTCTCTCTCGCTGTTTCTTCCTCACTTGTTCGCTTTATTTATTCTCAAGACTAAACACCTATTTTTTAATCGAGAAGACTTGGCATGGGCTCGTCATATGTCATAATTTAGCCTCATTTTATGTTCATGGTGTTTTTTCTCAAAAGAAAAGAAAAACTCAGTCTTAATCCAGAACTGATGCGAGAAAAAATGTTAGGCAAAGAAGATATCTGCTCCGTTTTCTCTAGTTCTTTTTGTCATATTCGATTCCTTGTTGCACAATGAATTCATCGTTACATCGGATCCTTCTGTGAGAATACAATAAATGCAATACAATAGAGATGTTCATGGGAAAAATTGAATAAATTTGTAGAGCTCAATTTCCTCATCAAGTGAAAATTTTTTTGAACCATTGCTACATTTAGGTTTTCTTCTTCTTCTTCTTCTTCTTCTTCTTCTTTTTCTTTCTTATCTATTAAAGAATCAAGCAAACACAATGGGATAGACATATTCCATTCATGTACGACAAAATGAATATGAAATATGATAAATTAGAAAACCTTTCGCCTTATGAATTTCATTAAAAACAAGACGAACTGAATGGGTTTTTTTTCATGATTCTATTTAATTACTAATAGCTATTCAATACCATTTAGATATTTAGAAAAGTTGTCAATATGCAAATCTTTTGTTCTCAAAAATGATCTCGGTTCTCACGAGAAATATTATACTAACATCGTTTATATTTGCTTTCTTGTTTTTAATAAAAACAAAAAAGTATACGGTTAATATAAAGTTCAAAAACCAATACTTTATCAATCAAATAAAATTGATGTCAATAAGTATTGATGTTCGAATACAGTTTTATATATTTTCTTCAAGATCTGACATAAAAATTAAGACAAAGCGACAAAGATTTCTTTATTAACCTATTATTCATTTCTAGTCCTCTGCCAAAACATAATTCTACACGAGACGCATGCCAACTACGAAAACAAGTTGAATTGCTTAGAAAAAATGAATTACAATAGAGATAGTGCTAATAGACAAGCATAATCAAAGTAACAATTACTAGAAAATTATTATAATGAGCAATTGAAGAAATAAAGAAGAAGACTATTAAACAAAATCTGTATTCAAGATTAAATAAAAACATCTATTTTAACCTTAATGTTAACTATAACAGATGCACACCAATTTTACTTTATCAATATATTGTTCACCCTAGAAAATATTTGACACGTAAAACTCAAAAACTATTAAAGTAGTGCATATTTGCTTTTCTTAACAAGCGACAGTACCTCCACAAAGAGGTAAAAAAAATGGTAAAAAAAACAAATTAATTTTTAAGAATGTTTTTACATAGACTTAGAATGAAATTTTCCGATTTAGTCATCAATTATTTCAAAGTTTTGCCTACAAACATAAGTAAGAATGACACTAATCAAAGTTTTAAATATTTTATATTAGAAATATAAGCGGCTTTATTCTTGCATGCCTTTCACTTTTCTCTCTCTCTCTCTCTCTATTGAACATAAAGACATGAAGTGTTAATACAAAAATAATAAAATATCTTAAGTTCTACACGAGATATTAATTAAATTCATGTTTACATTTTTGAAGGCAACCATTCAAAATTACTTTTTACACAAGTGCGTACTATTTCATGCATCCATCTAGTTCTATAAAAACTTTCTTTTTATTATCAACGAATGAGATGACCAGTAACGGCGTAGTATTCTTCCATCCAACACAAATAATATTCGAAATATTTCTTGACTCAATTGATATAGCCATCTGAGAATTATCAGTACGACAAAAAGCAAGAACGTGTGATTATAAAAATATTATTGAAACTATTTCGAAAGTATCTAGGTCTATTTATTTTCTTTTTTATATTGAAGCATTCGAGATAATGATAATCATGGATGAGCTTCATCTACCAACAAGATAATGTTTGAAATACTTCATAATGATGATATTATTTTAATTAAAAATAAAATAATGAGTATGAACATTTTCCTGATGTTTTGCCAAATATTTCACAATATATTTTCTAAAAAATTTTGTTTTCATTATTGTTACTATTTTGAAAGTGCACGTTTACCTACGTACATTACTTGGCTTTGTGTTTTCCTTTGCTACGCATTTCCGGAAAGATTTTCGACATTAAGAATTTTTCTTCTATACATTTCTATGATTAATTGGTAACCTTCAATACAATATATCACTCTTGTGAATGTTACTCTCTAAATTATGGATTAGAATTATTTTAAAGTAATGAACTAGCAGATAGTTTTTCTTTAAATACGATAAAATTTTTAATCGTTTCTTTATACTTATTTTTTGTTAGTTAAGTACTTAGAATAAATTAAATTTTTTACGCAGAATTCACTTGAATAAATCTGCCTGTAGCATAAATTTTAACTATGGAAATAAAAAGAAAAAGAAATAAAAACGATTGTTCAACAGTCGATATCTAGTAAAATTGAAACTACTATTTTATTACTTGTTTTGTGCAAGATAAAAATATTTTTGTGTGGATAATTAATTACAGAGTTAAGTTTAAAAAAAAATTATATATCGAGATTTTATATTGATACACAAGTTAGTCTAATAACTATATTTCTAGATGTGCTAGTCACACGAAAATCAAAATGAAATATTTCGATTTAGCAAATTCTAACTTTTTCATGTGATAAAATTCAAAATTATACTACCGTATATATCGGCAATGATGATGATGATGATGATGCAATCCATGACTATTAACAGTAATATATGGCATAGTTGGATGAAGAAAATTAGCTGGATGAATATGTGATAATGGTAATGTTGTTGTACTTGTCGATGCTGATGCATGTTGACTAACAATTGTACGACTAAATTTGGCTAGCGACGGTGAACATGAACCAAGATATGATCGATTTAGTATATCAGCTGGTGGACGTGGTTCTTGCCGTGGTAAACAAAGATCTCGAAGTGCAGCTCTTGGTGACGATGGAGAAATAGGTAGTCGAGCTGCTGAAACTAGAGGAATTATTAAATGTCGAGATGATCGTAGTGTTGGTCGTTGTGATGGCAATAGATTATGATTCAGCGACGCTAGATTTGATGCATCATTCCACGAAGGATTACTACTTGCTGATGTACATGTTGAAGAAAAACTTGAACCTCGTGGGTCTTGAAGATGTCGTGCGCCAATCATAATAATACTATTTTTAAGTTCAATAATGATACTTTTTTTATCAACATATGAGGCTCACATCTAAAGAAAATCATCGAATAGGACAATATGACATGATTTTAATTGCTTTTTTTTATTCAATACAAAAAAGAACATATTTTAAGGTAATAACAATATATTTATATGAATCAAGTAACATTTTGGCTTCACTAAAAATCTAATTAAAAACACATAGATCTAAATGTTTATGAGTCGAATAACAACTGAATTAGGAAGGACTTACTTTTTCTAGATTTTATTTTTTTCTTCTCTTCTTTTCTCTATCTTGATTTTTACAATGATGATAATGATGATGATGATGATTCAGTTTAGAGTTGCTTCTTACTCACTGACACTCACTAAGTTTCCGTCCATAAAGGGAAAAAATGGAAGAAAGCGATACGAAGAATACACTAATAATGAATAGGGTAGAGAGAACAACATTGCTAGTTGTGCTCTTCTTTATTCCTCTTGTTGTTCTTTTAGACTCCTGACAATTATAGATTTCCACTCAACTGCGATGCATATAAAAATCTGAATACATGGATATATATATATATATATATATATGATTGAAGTGTTGTTCTTTCATTTCATTCTTTTTTTTTATTACTTTAATACACGAATGATATAGTTAACATACGAGTATACATTGTGAGATATGTCAAGACAATATGTCTCGAAGACTTTGCATCTTTGTCTTCTATCGTCTATCATATGCATATACTATAGGAAAAGATCACTCACCAAAATGTTTATTCAATGTGTGAGTGTAAGAGAGCAACAATAAAATATACTCAACAATAGAGATGTAGGGTTGTGTTACTTCGAAAAAGATAAAAGAGACGAGCTCGAAAAGAGAGAAAGAAGAATGAGAGAGAAAGAAGAAATGTTTCGCTATGATGCTTTTTATAGATAATGTGGGTCGTATTAACTACGAACTCTAACAGAATGGTGACAAAGACGACCAAGCTCATTTAAATTAATACAAAGAGACACAGAATGCCGACCATTATAATGTTCAAAAAAAAAAAATTCACACATATATATATATATATATATATATAGAGAGAGAGAGAGAGAGAGAGAGAGAGAAAAGAAAAAGCTATAAGAGAAATGTCCCTTTTGAGCCTAATTATGTAAGCTAAAAATAGCTATCGAAAATTTTAATTAGAATCTATCTATAAGAAATAAAAACGTGTAGGTCTATAAGTGACATAAATCCTCATATAAAAGAAAAGGAAATCTTTATGTACAATTATGCTTTGAATTGCGGAATTTTTTATAAATAGATTATTTATTGCTTCTCAAATAACAATTTATCCAAACATGATTTCTTTTTTGTTTATTCAACCTCGCTTAAGCCTTTTATACGTTGTCTTTCAAAAACAAAAATGATTTTGTATTTTAATCAGCATATTGTTGATAACTGGAGAGAGATAATAGAAACAATAAGGGGTTGAAGAAGTGAGCTGTAAAATTGAACAAGATGCTTACAACATCTTGCTTTTATTTTTGTCGCTGCTTTTATGGTATGATTAGTATCTGATTTTTTTTTCGAGAACATTGTTTGCTCGGTTCTTTTCTCATAATTTTCCGTCTTACCTTATCACATTTTTGCTTTTTTTTTGTACTCAATCAATTATCGAATGATAGTGTCAATCTTGACATCGACTAATCGTTTCGAATAAAACGGCATTGAAGAACAGTATCGATCTACTGGCAAAATGTTCGATAATAAGTTGAAATAACTAGAAAAGAAAGATAAGTCGGCTCAATATGGAAAAAGCTATATACTAGATATAAAAAGAAAATTTTATTTCGTTTCTTTCGAATAATTTCAATCGCCATAATATGTGCAACAAATGATATGTCACAAAAAATAAAAACTAGAACATGCGTTTATTCAAGCAGCAAAAAAGATAGATTTTGTTGTCATATAATAGAGAAATCAATAATCCATGAATTAAGTTTCTATATTGAATTTATTATCTGTTCAATTAATCAATTGAAAGAATGCTCTCTTTTATTATTAGCTGCTAGGTTTGTCTGAAGATGCTGAATAATTTCATTATGATCATATCAGATTCGTGAAATTTCAAGGAACTCGTATCGGTGGTGGAATTTTCTAGTATAATCCGATTATTAATGAGATCTGAAAGCGATGACACGAATTCGTCCAGTTGATTCAGTACAAAATGTGGTTCTATGTGTTTGATAGTGGATAATGCAATTTCGGTAATTAACCGGCGGCAGGATTATTTGAAAACTAAAGTACGTCACAAGCTTAATAAATTTACTATTGACAGTGGAATAAGAGGAAAAAAACACTATTTCATTTAATAGTATCTACCGTTTATTATTGTGAGGAACTTATTGTTCATTGGTTTTTCTCATCAAATTCTAATATATATTCTATGCTGTCAAACAAAGACTAGTTTTTGTCTTTCTTCTTTTTTGTGCTAACCACAAAAAGAATCCCTCGAAACGTTGACAAAGAGAGATGTCAAAATATAGAGGCTGTTTTGAACAATCATTGCCGACAGACAATAGAGTAATCAGTGTTCGAATCAATCCTGCCTGATGATGATGGATATGAGTCTAAAATCAATCGAACATGCTATCACTTTAATCTTTTTTTTTTCGCGACGGTAGGAACAAAGATAAATTAATGTGTTGACAGATAATAGCGATGGCTAGCAATAAGGTCACAAAAATAACTAGTCAATAAACTTATACTTCGTCATGTTATTCCTTTTGTACTTATAGAATATAATTCATTCAATTAAACATGGCGATAATGAGTATTCAAAAAGAATTATTTCTTGGCCGATATAATCAGTAAATTGTGATTGACAATGAAAAATGCATCGAAACTTTAAATATAAAAACTCATACGTCTTTGCATATAATACAATTTTTAATAATCTTGTTTTAATATTTATTTTAAAAAAAAGGAAAGAGTATTTTACAGATTTTGTTTTACTAAAGGTACAAACAGATTAAAAATTTAGAAATTTGTATTGCTCTTCAACCTATCGGTGGAATACATTCCCGAGGACAGCTACCACAACATTTCTGATTGTTACTGCATTCAGAGTCGTCATCACAGTAGACCTTACAAATGCCTCCCTAGCTTGATGTTGTTGGGCATGAGCCTGGTTTTTTAGTCGTAACTACGGGTTGTGTAATAGTAGTTGTTGTTGTTATTGTTTTAGAAGAAGGACAGCAAGCAGCATAGGCATCATTCGGTGCAATAACACATGCATAGTTTGATGGACAATCCGTTCGATTAATAATACCACGACCACAAAAGTAACCGTCCAATGGAGCTTGGAACCTTTCACAAGGACTACGATTACATTTACATTTTGGACAACCTCTTTGATTTAATTCAAAATCATATTTACATTGTTTACCACATGGTGGACGACATTTTTTCTCTTCGTTTGGGTTTGAAACAGCCAATTGTGCTCAAATACATACGAATAAGATTGCAAAATCACGCATCGTTTGTTGAATATGATTGTATAATTTGCCTAATACCTACCGTGTATTTATATTGGACAAAACTAAATGTGTCAAAAGAAAGATTTTGTTTATCGTACAATATAGCTTTTAATTAGACGTTTTGTCATGCTTTTCACGACGAAAAGTCACGTGATATCAAGGTATAGACTGTCTATACCTCCTTAACGCTTGATACGTGCTCAAGAAAGCTGTAGTCATATTTTATGAAAGGACCGAAAAATAATCATACGTATTATAGATGACGCCATTGGATCAGATTGTTCAGCGGATGTATGACATAATTTTAGAGTAAATTTGTGAGTATACGTTCGCGGCAAAAAAGAAAGAAAACTTTTTTACGTTTAAAAAGATAAAAATAGAGTTGTCCAGTAGTAATTAAAAAGACAGCGAGTTGGTCATTTTATTGCTTTTTTTTTCATTATAAATGATAAACAAAAACTCATTGCAAACTAATTTACTACTAATTCTTAAATGAAATCTGAGATATGGAAATAATCTAGTAAATTTTTAGTGTTTATTTATATAAGGGGGTTATACCCTTACGATATACAGAAGTTTATTAAAATCTTTAAGATAACTGATTGACTCCTGATATTTATCATTGTTTACTAGGAAAAAGATGAATATTGAACTTGTCTCTATAGATTATATCAGTCATTCAAACTCAGAATATTTAACAGAAGATTATTTTTTTTATAATAAATTAGCAACATCTTCATTCTGTTGATTTGAGTCGAATCATATGATATGGCGTTTAGTATAGTTTCTCTATGCTTCGATTTATCCATCTAATGATTGATTTTTTTAATCGATTTCGTTATATTAGATGTGTAATTGTTAAATGAAACAAAAACAAATACTGCTGATACAAATTTATTTGAAGATTTTAATTAGTTAGAGTATTCAAAATGTTATTTTGTCATTCAAATTAATACAGACTGTAAATTCTAAGTTTGAGTTTCGATGGCGACAACTCACTATTAACACTATAACGTAAATGCTTGAATAAATCTGTAGTTTAATGGAGATTTCTAATTATGTGCACAAGGATGATCCCCAAGTGGTTGATGCCCAAAGCTACATAGAAGTTTTAAAAAAGCTGCAATTTCATTCCCTATTTATATATTGAAATTAATTATCAGCGGCGAGAAATACATGTTGATAAAATTAACTTGTGCGAAAATATCTTTTGACGTTAGTACGAATAAATTACTATTGATTGAAATTTTTATTTAAAACTTGATTCAAGAGAAAACAAATATTAAGCGGTATCATCGATCATTTAATATCCATTTTATTACGAGAAAATCATATCGACAATTTAAACTATTTATGTATTACCTTGCTATTGAACTTATCGATTGAATAACTTTTCATTCAAGTGAAAAGAATAGGCAAATATTTGAACGAAATATTTTATTTATCTATGCGCGATCGAACGTATTGCTTAATTCGTAATGCGTCAAAAATAGGTTTAGTAACCATGCAAATGATTATGATCGATAGCATTGTTTTTTTGTTTATATAATTAATGAGAATATTTTGTTTTTCGACATTATCTTCATTGATTGAATCGAAAGATAAATATTTTATTTCTACTGAAAAGACGTAGACCAAGAGAAAGTTGATTATTATCGTTACATTGATCGTTACTAAAAATTCATAAAATTATTTATTTGCTATAGTAATAAAGACTACTGTAAAAGAAATCTTTTTGTTACGATATTAAATAAGTTCTTGATATTTAAACAGAATAAATATCGATTTTATTCGATAATAAATAGCAGATGTAGTATTTGATGATAGATTATGTATTTGCTTTCATCTACGAATGTACTCATTGATAACGAGGACACCATACAACATAAGCATCATCGAATGTAATGACACAAAGTTGTGCTAATGGACAACCGTGAAGATTAGAACCTTGACAAAATAAGAAATGAATACTCTTCAGGGCATGTTTCTCTCTCTCTCTCTCTAAATATATTACTTGTATTCTTCTACATGTAAATGTTGAACATCAATTTTCATGAATTACTTTTCCAGACTTCCAATTTACATACATATATTGCACATGCTGGCACATATTCCGTACGTGACAGACTTTCTGGCGTAGCGAGAGTAACGCACATAGGATAACGAGTATAATAGTAACACACAGTATTGCATAGTTAGTGTTTATGTAATCAAGTAAATTATTTTTATGCCAGGGTGAGATGTGTAGATCTGATAGATTTCAGTGAGTAAATTATGATAGATCTCCTATTTATCTTAAAGATAGAAATCGTTTATTTTCAATTAGATACTACGGAAACAAGGACATGTACTTATGCCGACTGACTGTGAGTGACGATATCGGAATGTAGAATTTTAAACGGATTGTATTTAGCTGATTGATTGAAAACTAGTTATCGAGATGGAGATAAATTATTGTGTCGACAATGACAACGATGAAGTTCAAAAAAATTGCAAAATTCGATTCTCTCTATTTTTTGTTTATTGAAGATGAGCATTTACAACATTGAATACTAAACACGTCATTTTTTAACCGTACATGTAAGGTTAACCTTTGAAAAATCGTTGTATATCATCATAAGAGCTATTCTAATTGTTTTAAAATAATTACTTTTCCTCCTTTAATCAAACTACAATCAACTGAAATAGATTACATCAGAAGAAGAAAATATTCCAAAATGCTAATTCTTTGATTTTCAAAATCATGATCGATACGAGTACAGATAAACGCATGAAAAGTTGAAAACGATTTTGATTGATTTTTTCTGTATTTTTTTAAAATTCTACTTATATTTTAAACAATACAAATCTCCGACATGTATGTATATATATATATAATGAACAGTGATAAACAGAAAAGAAAACTGTACATTTTTTTTATTTACTAAATTTTATCTCACTAAGATGATTCTTCCGTCATGTTTTATTTCTTTGCTGATTAAATTTTATTTCCAAAGTTCACAAAATTCGTCCGTGAACACGCAATAGATGATATAGAACAATTAGAAAGATTGCGCTTCGTCTAGTACTACCAGTTACTTCACATTCGAATAATTCTATCAGAAACTTCATCTTCATAGTATGCCTTTTGCTGACATGTCACTTAGAATAATTTTTTTTAAATTAATATACTTCGAGCTACTTCTATTAACTTGTTTTACATATTAATTGATAGTATTCTTCGAACTCAACAGGGCACCATAACATGGTGATATTGTTGAAAAAATTACATTTATTATTAGGTCAATTATTCAGTGAATGGAAACATATCTCATTTTTTTTAAATAATTTTCTTCACTAATTAGCACGTATCCTAAATATGATAGAAATTTACTGTATTCAATTGTACTTCGCATAGTGGTAATATTGAAAATACAACCTCGATTAACATACTACATGTTTAGGTTAGAGTATATAGCACACGATTAATGAATTCAATTCAACTACGTATTATGCAATGCCATGAACTGAAAACAAAATAGTGAATCGATGAACATGATTCATATAAGTAGAATCTGCAAAGCGCAAGTTTATGACATATTCCAGATACGCTCCACTCGGAGTGTGGCACATTTACAATTAATCGAATAGTGGATTAAACAATTCATCGTATTCCATTAGTAGTCAATGTGCAGTCTGTTTATAGTTACGAAGTTATCTTTGAATCATAAATAAATCTATTAGGTTAATTTTGATAGTCAAAGAGACGTTATTGAAGTTTCTTGTGATCTGAATGAAACAAGATCAATCCTTCCTAGTAATCATGCAAAACGAAATAATATATGTCAAAGCAAACATTTTTGTTCACGGTCAATTAATGTAATTTTTCATTTTTACAAACTAGAGCCTTGCATTCAATGCAGTCAACGAAAGAAAAAGTATACGCATTATTTGTTTCTTTTGATTTTCACCTGTTTTAATGATGCTTTGAAGGACATTTAAAAAAGTCATGAGATGCTCTAGTAAAATAAAGAGACTATTTATAAGAATAGAAATACTTAAACTAAAGAGAGAGATTAAGCTTGTTTAGAATCATATATTATCTTATATTTCATTTTCATGATTATTAATGAAATTTTCCTTGAAGTCGCAGAGAAATTTGAACTTGTATTCAAAATATGTGATGAAAATTAACCACATAAACATGTGATATTGACATATTTTGTTTTCAATCATCTCACCTTGTGTTTTGATCGTCAACATTAGCAGCAAATAATGAAATATACTGATTTTCATAGCTGCCCAAAGAAACCTACACATATTTACAATAAATATAAGGTTACAATGGCTGCATAGATCAGTTTATCTACGAGCATCTCTAATCCTTGGATATTAATTATAATTCTAAGAAACAGACAGCAAAAATAGTTGTCTGAAATACGATATTGTATCCTAAACCGATCAAAGTAGAATCTATATATCATGTCGAGGTCGAACATAATGATCATATCTTGCTCGTAGACGATATCAAAGGATACCTTGCTTTTTTCCTATCAATACAATCGATACCAGACATATCTAACATAGTTATCATATTTCTATTTAATTTTCTTTTAATAGCATTAGTTAATTACGTATATCCGTAGTTAAATAAATAAATAATTTTTTCCAAAACACCAAAAAAATTAAAATTTTCGGCAATACTTATATTTATTGCTTAATCAATTCTAACTATGGACCCATTTCCATTGTCATTAATAATTGGAACAAATAAAGACCAAAGACAAAAAAAAATAATGTCAAGACACAAAGAAAAACAATTAAACAACATCTAATATGAACTCTGTACATTTGAGAGGGAAAATACTGCTCAATGAAATGAGAAATGAACAAGGACAGGAAAACACACACGACAAATAAAACCGGTAGTCAACACAAAAAATGACGTAAATCTTTCATTTTTTTAGTTTCTTTCGCGAATTACATTCGTTTGTTTGTGTTCATCCTGATACCAATTCTGTTTTGGAACAACAGAATACACAAAACATACAGCAACAACAACAACAATTAAAAAAAGGAAAGAAATTAGACAGTACATACGCACAACATAAATTTATTTTTTATTTTTTTTTATTAAAATTGAAATCTGTTTTTTTTCGTAAAGTTTTTCAGACTTTTTTTGGCCCATATCCAATAGCTGCATCGTCCCACTCCAATTGATGATCAACTTTTTTCTTATGTATTTTATTATTTTCATCCTCACCATCGTCTTCCGATGAATATTCATTACGATTATTAGTTTGAAATTCTGCATCTTCATCATCCGAACTTGAACCTGGATATTCATCCAAGGTTTGTTCAGTATTGTGGATATTTACCGATTGAGCAGATTTCTATAGAAAAAAAAGGAAATAGATAAATAAAGCGCAGTGCAAAACAAAAAGAATCGTCCGAATTAGCTAACTTTTGTTTCATCTAGTGGATTAACTGTAATATTAAGTCCAATATCATCTTCCCATTCCATTTGAGAATGTATGTCATCTCCATTATTTGTGTTTGGATTATGTTTTCGATTGGTTGTACGAATACGTACAACAAGATAAAGTACAAGTACACCAGCAAGACCGATCGAGACACAAATAACTACCGCGATAGGCCAGTCTAAAAACAAAAAATGTTGTCGTTATTTATCTAATCTTGAACTTCTTCTTCCTATTAACTCTAGTTCATTTTGCTTGCACTAATAACTCTCTTCTGTATTGTTTATGTTATCTGTTAACGTTCATTTCTTTCTTTATCACTTGTTGTTGTTATTACTAACGCAACTATTGCGTCCATTTATCATCTATGCACAGCAAATTGAGCAATCAAATAGCAAACACAAAAAAAAATAAGAAAAGAAAAGGACTTGTGTTGTTAGTATAAAACAAAAGTTCATCACCTGGTGATGCTCTTTGCGCTTTATGATGACAAAAAAAAGACAAGAATGCTAATTGGTTGTATATGCACAACTGGGACACGCTCTTGTATCTCCATTTTTATATGTAAAAATACACATAAAGGTAGATGAATGCATATGCGTATGTATGGTGACATACAAAAAATAGATTGACCATCAAGGGTAGTAAACTGTGGGACATCTATCGTTTTACTTCTACTCAATGTCAAGGTCAACGATACTATTGACCGATTGATTCGTTTGAAAATGAGAAGAACAAAAGTAATAATTTGATTCGAACTTACTTAAAGTTGGCAGTAGAAACATTTCGATGAGATATCGTTGTAAATAATGTCAAATAGAAAATAGTATGTTAAGACAAAAAATAATTGTTGTAGTAGCTATAACTCTACGAATCGTTGTCGTCGATAATGATAATGACAGTGGTTGAAAGCCTGTTTGCTGTTGTAGTACAGAGAGAGAGAGAGAGAGACAGAGACAGAGACAGAGAGAAGAGTCTTGAGGACAACGAAGAGGAGAATAAGAAGAAGAAAAAATGCCGGGCAACGTTGAGATGTGCGCGAGCGCGAACACACATATACTCCCAGTCAGACAGCAGATAATTTTACAATAGAGTTACACTCATTTTTTTCTCTCCTTTTTTCCTTCTTCGACGCATCTAAGCACAAAGCAAAGAGATCATTACAAGCAGAAATGAATGGGAAAAAAATACGCAGCAGGGAAAAAACTCTTCCTTTTGCTTCTTTTTTTTCTCTTCTATGTACGATGATGCTAAAGCATGAAGAACAGCTTAAGTGATTCATCGAATACTAAAATTCTTGATCCAATGTCTAGTCTACATTTTGCTTGTCTCGTTTAATATAAGTATATACGTGAGAAGTCACATCTGTTTGCGTTCAATCCGTTTTTTTTTCTTTCTCTTTTTACTATATGTAAAAAGAGAGAGAGAGAGACACACAGAGAAGATCATCACTGTGAGCTCTATGATGACAAGTCTATATATATATATATGAATTTTATGGTTAATAACAATCAGAAAAAAAAGAACGATGTTTCGTCTACTTTTTCTCGTTATTCATCAACGTCTTTGATTTATGTGTTCGTCTCGAAGTTGTGCGTCCTTCAATGCCAGTCATCTATGCATAAACATAAACACGACAGAATCCATATAGTAGCTTCTAAGAGCCATAAGTTATTGGTATACCGCTAGCTACACATCAGCCGATAAAATCATCACCTTTACTATTTTTCGCCTTACAGCATCTAGCAAATAACAACATTACCACGCAAACAGGCAGACATTATATCTCCTGATGCGAAAGATTTTTTTTATCTATCGGTCTTTTTTTCTACTTAGATAGCTTATACCAAACTACACATATGTTGCAGATAAAACTGTTTTTCCGTCGAAGACTTCCAATCAATAACAACTATTTTGTTATTATAGCATATGCATGAGAATGAAAATAGGTACTGTAATATAGTTACCTGACATATTTCGTTTAACTCGTTCATTGGTTTCATGAACATTAACAATATGATTTCTTGCGTGATCATTATCTACAAAAAATAGATTCGATAAAGCAGCAGCAGCAACTGGAGCCAATGGAGCCATCTGTTTTTCTATGCGAACCTTGAAAAAAATAATGAAATGAATTACTAATATAATAAAAACAACAATTCTTACTCGAACACGTATTTCATTTGTTATGATATGATCAGAAACACCAGCACATGAAAGTGTGAACGATCGATCCGTATAAGTTATAGGTGTATGTGATACATAAGCGATCTGTCGAAATAAACTTTGATAAGCATCAATGGTTTCAAGACCTGAAAACATTGCACCCTCTTTTGTAGTTTGCTTTTCTAGATTAGGAACATCTGGTATAATTAATTGTTCAGTGTTTGACAATGATGGTGTTGCTTGTAAAGTACAATCACTTACATCAACTAGAATAAAAATATAAAATTCATCTTGGTATAAAGAAGACAAAAAGAAATATGTATAAGACTTTACCTTGTTGCCTTTTTATTGCATTTGTAAAAATCGATAAGGTTCGAAATAGATAAATACCCTGATGAATAACATCTTCTGGTACGACATAATGAGTGTCACCTTTAAGTTCAACTTTAATTGGAATTTTCGGTTCATCAATTGATATAAATCTTGTGAAGACTGGTAATTCATTTGGATTTGTTTCTCCTAAACATTTAACACGTGTGCGAATTGTTACTTTTCGTTCGCCCTGTGGACCAATTGGTTCAAAGGTGTTGCGATAAACCACATGTTTCAATAATTGTTCATAGGACTCAGTTGTATCCGTACGTAATATCCACATTGATCGATTAGAGTTACTAACGAATTCCTAAGATAAATAAAGATGAAGAATTTCTTTGTATAGAGACATGTGCGTTAGACTTACAAGATTTGTTTTATGGTGAATATCCGGAATATCGAGGTATTGATGACAGTCTCGAATGCATTCTGATGACCGTTGTAATTCTTCTTTTTGTTCAATTGAAAGACCCGATAATTGACCGTGAAAATGTTGAACCATACGAGATGCACGGGCTAAATAGAATAGTTGTTCAATTCTATATTTTCTATAGACTTTTATTATTCATGCTAAGATAGAATCTATTTCGAAACGGTGGAAAAATAGCACGCATATTATTATGATAAAATATAACCCTTTTCCACGCAGAACTACTTAATAGTCAAAGAGATATTTTGATTTATAGATCATACTTTATATTCATGTATACTTCGCTACTTTATATAATTAGCTGGGGGAGTTTGACCAATGTCACCAATATATATATATATATATCTATATATACTTGCAAGGGCCCCCATGGGTATATATATATATATATGAAAGGACAAGGTTTCATCAAGTATATGCTAGTACGAATCTAATTTAAACACAGTTTGAGAAACAGACATATACTTAAATCATATAAACAATCATTGAACTTGACCTATTCACATGACTAAGGCACTCATTCATTCCTAAAGTATCCCTTCGGCATGACTAAGAAGATTAAGCATGACACACATATTCACATGGATTCCATGTGAGTATGTTATAATGAAATTTAATCGAAGACTTGTTAGTTTTTTTCTTCTTCTATCTTACCATGCCAACAGGCTCCTAATGTAAATATTGTGTCGTTAGTTCCTTCAATAATGGATAATGGATGATCTTCAACAGCTCGAAAATTTTCTTTAGTTGCAACAATTAATTGTTCATCAATATATAAATCGACCTAAGCAAAAGAAAAATAAATAGTCAATTTAAATGAAAAAAAATTCGTTTTTTTTGCAAAAATTTACTTTATTTGGATAGTCAACAATAAATTTATATGAATGCCATTTATTGTCATTGATTTGTGATAATTTCCACATCCATTCAGATGTATGCATTGCATTCAAATTCGATGATACTGGTCCTTTACGTAATAATAATTTCAAATGATCATTTTGAATAAACAAAGCTGTATGATGACGATTTTTTGCTAAATAAAATTTTCTTTTGTTGAGTTTCTTGTAAAAAAAAATAAGCACATTTTCGATTTCTTCAACTTACATTTTTTGTCACTTTTACAGAAAATATGTTGTTTATTATTATCGTTTTTATTCTCGTTTACGTGCTTCATCCACATGCGAATAGTTAATTCACTACTTAAATGACCCGAAAATTCCGATTGATTGACAATTAATGCTTGACTGAAACCATTAAACGTGGCTACTCTTGATTGCGGAATTTCGTTTGGTTTATCATCTTTTGGCAATAAAATATATTCGCGTTCGATCGTTGCTGAAAAACAAGTGAACTTTGTTTTGCTTTCAAAAACAAAAATGAAAAAAAAATACATACAGCATTGATCAAGATTACAACCATTATCTAATCCATTTGAATCAAGTTCAACTGTACCAACAATATCTTGAACATTGCATGTCTCTTCACATGCATTCACATTTACAGTATCAAATAGATGAATACGATCCGATTGAATTAATAATTTTTGTGATGCTTTATCTAAATAAATAAACAAACATCAAGTACGTATACGATAGATTTATTTTGTTTCTCCTATTCGGCTTATACCATTTAAAGTTGGTTTGCATGATTTGATAATTTTAACAGTAACACGAGCTGGTTGACTTAGTTTTTTTGAATTATCATTTGATGGAAAGCAGTCAATAGCAATAACATCAAATTCATATTGATCGCCACTTAATGTTTCGGTTATCGATATTATACCTTTCGAATCGATAGAAAATGGCACTTTCGGTGTAATTATTTCATAGCCGCATACACGATGATCTTGATTAGCACAATCATCATCGGTTGCTTCAACCTAAATGGGAAAATAATACATTTTGAGAATCTGATTTTTCTTCCATTAAGCCTCAAGAAAAATACGAAGAAAAACATCTACTAGATTTGTGTATTGTTACATATTAGAATATGTTTGGATGATTATACTTATTTTCATACTTATCGATATTTTTAGTTCTATCGAAGTTAATTTTCAAGAGAATATGTTTACAGAAAAGCACATCATATTCCATTCTATTTCTGATTGTTTGAATTCAACAAAATCAACGTATATGAGTAGACTTTTTTTCTTCTTATTAACTTACACGACACGATGAAGAATCACAGATTTGACTTCCATGCAATTTGAATAGATAATGATCATGTGTAAAAACTGGTGCATATTCATTAACATCATCAACAGTAATTATCAAAGAAGATCTAAATTAGGATAGACGAAAACAACAACAACATACAATACGTTATCGCACTTTAGTTTTGTTTTCTGATTGCTTTATTATTGTTAGTTGAAGTGTCTCGGCAAATAAGTCACCTTGAGACAAGTATTTAGAAATATGTTTTCTTTTCTTACCTTTCTGAATAACGTCGATTATCACCAGGCGCACAATCAAAGGCACGTATATATACTCGATGTATTTGTTTTATTTCACAATCAAGTGCCTCGCTATTAGCTTTCAATTTAAGAATAGGTTGATTATCAATCATTTCAACAGCGAATGGGATGTTTTGCGTGATATCATCAATAACATCGTCATGTTTGTGTAATGACAGCTCGTAACCACAAATTTTACCTGAGTAAAAATAACATATTTGTTTTTTTTCTCTTTTATTACAAGTAAAACAATAGATTCTTTAATCATAACATACCATTTAACGAAGTCGGTTGGTCAGCATCGGATGCATATAGACGTGGTTCAATTTTAACGATACGTTCATTTTCCTTGACATGACCTGTATAGGAGTTTGCCGAAAGTATGGGATCAAAAAAATTCGCTTTAATCCTTGAATATTTCGTTTCTATTGACAAAACTTTTATATTTGTCAAGGCTATATATGATAATGAAAAATACGAAACAAAATAAAAAAATAAGTCTTAACCTTGAATTTTAAAAATTGAATCTACCTGCAATGATGAGAAAAAATATCGACCCAAACATTGTAGTCGATTGCTGTATGTTTGTAAGATCTTAGTTTTATTCGAATATTTTGTGAATCGATAAAGTGACTTGAAATTCGCCTTGCTTTTTATCTATGTTAAATAGTGATGAGATTTAGGAAAGAACGAATAGAATCTCAATTAGTGAATAGATCAGAAGAAGAAAAATCATGAAAATGATTTATGTGTATTTTAAAAAAAAATGAAGAACTATTACGGCAATGAAGAGACACAAAAATGATAGTCTTACCACTGCTTCTACTCTGACTTGTCGATGAAACGAGAGCGAGCAAGAAAGAGAAAAAAACTCGAGGCCAATCTCGCTTTTTTTTACGGCTCATTCCGTATATTTCTCTTGTCTCTTTTCTCGTCTCTTTTTTCTCGCTTTCTATCGCTCTCGTCTCTCTATACGTTTTGTCCCTCGTCTTTGTAACTTTCTTTTTTTTTTAATTCTGTGTGAGATGCATACAGTATAGGCTGAGTTTTTTTGTTTAGTATTTTTCCTACCGATCCTCCTTTTTCTTGCTTCATGTACATGCATATTTTTTCTACTTTGTGCGTGACAGGACGCGTAAGAAAAGTGAGTAAGAGCCAGCCAAGCTAGAAAAGACGTAGATGTATATGATACATAAATCAATATGTTGACACCACCATTGACGCCTATTTCTTTCGATGATATTCATGTAAATGACAAGCAGAAAATGTGATTAGTTTGCAAAAAAAGATTTATATCGTATATTTTATATACAAAATAACAACTAAAAATAATTCATAAAAAGTCAGTATTTTTCGGAAAAAAGAAAACAAATTAGTTAAAAGATCCAGTAACACATGTTACAACATTTCCTTGAGAAGTATAAGTAGTTTTTGTTGTTTTAAATGTTCGTTTCTTTTTACATGGCTCGATGTCTTCTTCCTCATCATCATCGTCGTCGTTGGATATATCTGAATTGCTCGTAGATGGGATACTATCTGTTTTGAGTCGTTGAAGAATGATATCATCTGTTATTGTAATAAGTCCTTCTTGTTCAATGAGTTTTTTCGGTACGAGAATCATTTGTCCATCGATAGTTTTATGAATAAGATAGGTTGTATTCAATTCTAAACTGTGGCGATAGGTTGTTTCTAATTGAACTATACATGGATGTTTAGCTTGTTCAATCGTTTGCAATTGTTCATCGGAGTATGAAACTTTTCGACAGTTTCGATTCGATAGTTTTGTTTTATTTTCATTTTTATGCTTTACACTACTTAACGAACGAGGATGACCACGACCACGACGCTGAACAATTGGTAACGAAAATGTCTTCTTTAATGATTCAAAACGTTGAATGAGTGCTTCCGATGATGAAGGTAATGAATCCAACATTGATTCACAACGATTCTGAAGCTAAAGACGAATAAGAAAGAAGGAGAAAAAAAGCTTCTTTAGTTTTATTTGAAAATGGCATCTAGAATAAGTGCCGTAAGTCTACAACAAAAACAAAACTCCGAAATGATCGAAAATTGATGGAGTGTACCGAGACAATTTCTTTTTTTGTTTGTTTCAACTGATTTTGTACTCGTATTTAGACATCTCTAGGCAAAGGTCACTCTTACAATAAAAGATCTCGAATATGATTAATTAGGAAATTCTTTCAAACTTTTCACATATAGATTAGTATGAGATATTGCGTGTACGATTGGCAAAAGATATCTATTCGTTTTGCTTTTCGTCTACTCAGTAAAACAAAGTAATAATATTTTATATAATTCAAGGATGAGAAAATAAAACATAGACATAATTTGATTAGAACATAAATAAGTTTTTGTTGTTGTTTATGAATGACTCTAATGCAGCTTGTAATTTTACCTGAAGCATTTTTTTTCTCAGAGCCAGACAAGTATTTATTTGTGTTAATAATAAATCGGCACTTTCACGTTGTTCAAAGACAAACTCAATGTGTTTAATTAATGGCATCGTATTGTTCATTTGTCTTTTTCTAATCCAATATTCATAGAGTTTTTTCGATAGATTTTCATCATATTCATTGGGGCATTCTTCATGTAAACGCGATGGTGAAATAAATGTAGAAAATTTTTTATAACATGCATTTATCCACTGTTCATTTTTTAATTGATCACGATGATAGATAGTTAATGGAATTGATGATGATGATGATGATGATGATGATGACGATGAACATAATGAATCATCATCATCGCTGTCGAGAGTTTTTGATAATTTTATTGAATCTTCTTCAGAACGTTTTCTAGCCTCATCAGAATGTTTCGAACAATAGGCATTAAATTGTGAACGAAATATAGTTGGTTCTTTAGTAGCTGTTTGTTGAATGTCAAGGAAGTAGCCAGCAGCAAGGCCACAAGTAACCTTGAAACACAAAGAAGAATATAAAAAGTTGGCTATTTGAAAACTTGACTTGAAAAGAATAACACTTTCACATGATTCAGTTATGATTTATATGATTAAAAAAACACCAGCTGTCGCCTTAAGGTTTCCCTTGCGTGTAAGGGCTTCACTGATGCTTCAAAATGATAGAATATTATTCTTTTTGTATCGAATGAATGCATGATCACTCATCTCGGAAAAAAAAGATCACCAACCCGTAATAATGTAACTGTCAAAAATTTTAGAGTAATTAGTATCTTCAATGCAAGATATTTAATAATAAATTTCATTCTCTTTTTTTTTGGATACATACATGAAATGGTGTCCTACAATTTTTATGTGCACACTGTACACATGCGCCTTCCGTTGTTGAACAAATAACACAACGAAGAGACCAACGTGTGTGTGGAATTTTATTCAGGTGTAAAATGGGTTCCTACTCAAATATTTAAATATGACATAATTATATTCATCGTTTTCCGCCTACCATATTAACATAATCGGCAAATTTGAGTTCAGGCAACCAAAGAACACATGTTAAATGACACCAAATAGTACCACTTGCCGTACACTTCATTGGACCACCAAGTCTAAAATATACAGTTTTGTTTCGATAAGTTGTTTTTTTTATACATTTAAACTATTTTACTTCGGACAAAGAATACATGTAGGTCGTCTTAGAATAGAGCAAGGTTTGCAAAGCCATGTCCCAGTTGGTATAACGGCTATGCCATAACAGTTTTGATGTACACAGCAATGGCATCGTTCACAAAAAACCATTTCATTTCCATCGTCAGCATCGGGTAATAAACAAATATCACATACAATTTTATCATCATCACAGAATTTTTGTTTAATATATGAATGAATTTTCTCAGCTGTTGAAAATTCTAAAATAATAATTGCATTTTCAAACTCTTCTTCGCTTATTTGTCGTTTTTCTACAAGAAACAAAAACTAAAACAATAAAAAAAATAATCAAGAACATCTTTATGCCTATGATTTTATTTTGTCGATTAATTTCATGAAGAAATTTGAGATCACCATCATCCATATCATAATCAAGTTCACGCATAACTGTTTTCATAATTAATTGAGTTGGATCACTAGGCACAAAATTCAGAAAAAAGCAAATTTATCGATTTTATAATTCAAATTAAACTTTTTTTATCTTAATTTTAAAGTCAAATGAGAAATATCATAGAGTGAGTAATTCTATACATACATTGGTTCATCTATTTGCTCATCACTATTCGATTTGAGCTTTTCGTTTTGAATTTTTTTTGATAATTTTTTATAAGGTACAATTTGAGTTCTACTATTGAATATTGATTGGTTAATAGGAATAGATAATTTATACCATTGAGGTTGTCGATCGGTTACTGTCCAATATGATGCTTTAGAATTCGTTGTTGATGTTGTAGTAAAAACAAGTTTATTATTAGGACCAAGTGAAGCAAATATTTCTGTTTTTTGATTATCATCTGTATCAACTGTAGATTCATTGCCAGAACCAGTTTCTGTAAGAAGCAACGGCGATGATGCACTCTTTCGTAATGATGACAGAACAGACTAATGAGAATATAAAAATATGAGTAAAACAAAACAGATCACATGTATGTATTACTGTTCTTCGTCGTTGAGATCGACGACGAGTTATTGAATTTTTTGATATGCTTGGTTTGATTTTAATTTTAATGCTAACATTTGATGATGAATTTGAATTCATTTTTCGACTGATCGTGTCAGTCATTATTAAATTACAAAAAGAAGATATCAATAGAAGTGAAGAAAATGGATATAATAATTTAACACGAATTTTTTTTTGTTTAATCACAGATTTTAAACTTTACGTAAATGCAAAGATAAAAGAAACAACATTAATATTAGTGGTTCATCGACGTTCTGATCACATTGATAGAAAAAAAGGGTTTTTTTTCTATGGAATTAAAACAAAATAAAAATCTGAAACAGAAAAAAAGTTAAGCTTCTTTTTGAATAATTAATAAATATCACGTTAGTAGAAGGATTTCAGTTCTTTTTTTCATCTAAGAATTCATAAAAAGATATTCTCATAAGTGCTCACTTTTTGATCTTCATAGTTTTTGTTTTATTAAAATAAAATAGGACAATTGGTTAATTGCGAAGACGATTAATTATGAAGGAAATCAAAACCTATTCGAAATAAATCTCTGTCAAATAGAATGGCTTGATAAAAAAAAAAGAAAGATGAATTCTAATTCATTTTTACAAGGTCTTGACTTTGACTGTAGGACAAGTGTTTTTATCATTTATCTCCTTTGTTAAAAAATATAAATAGATATGTGTGTAGAACTCAGAAAATTTCATCCTTATCATAACTTCATTCAGTCTCATTCGGTCTTGAAAAAAGTACTTTAGAAATATGTTTGTCTCTTAATCGAACGTAATTTTTAACATTCAGTTTTAACCTTGGAGAACCTTTCATTCCAGTTAAAAGAGCATTTTTTTCTAATATTCCCTGTGGACCAGACTAAAGTTACCCCTTGCGAATTCTTAAGCATAAACTATTATATTTTATATCCTCTGTTTATAATAAACCTCAGAAGTAATGGTTCGCATCATTTTATTTTCCTTAGAAATCGGTTAGTTGAACTTTCAAATATTTCGAACGTTTTTTTCATGCAAAAAAAACAAACGAACGAACAAAGTAGATGATCATAGTTTTTATTCTTTTATCGCTCACATAATAACGGGCAACAACAAGAAAGAATAATAAATTTTATTTCTTAGAAATCATAATCAAGATAATCATTATCAAAATGATGTATGCGCACAAAACCATCTTCACCACCACTTGCATAGCTAAAAATTTTATAACAATAAAATTAATATATTTTTTCGTAGTAATAAACAAACAAACCTTTTGCCATCCGGATGAAAAGCAAGAGTATTAATCGGTCCAAAATGGCCTTTAACTCGAGCAAATTCTTCTTCAAATATTAGATGAAAGAATCGAGCTTCGAATTTTCCTGTTGTAGCTGCACTTTGTGTGACCTTGAGAGAAAAAGAAACGACCTATAGATTCAACTTAGGAATATATCTAACTAACCTCAATAGCTTCTTGACCGCCACCAAGTACTACATGATCTTTAATTGGTGACATAGCAGCTGAGTTTACTGGGCGATCGGTAGTATATGTTTTCAAATAGTCCAATGTTTCGACATCAAAAAGCTAAAAATGAATATTCACTAGAACATTCTCAATTCTTTTGGTTGTTTTTTTTATTTACTTTAGCTGTGCAATCTTTAGATGATGAAATAAAAAATGTTAAATCACGATTTGTTTGTAAGTCCATGATTTGTGCTGCGTGAGGCTTTTCTTTACGTACATCTTCTTGCGTCTAAATAATTATTAAAAATGAAAAATCTATCAAAAAAACTTATTTCCGAAAAAATTACTTTGATATCCCATTGTACTAATTCACCGTTATCATGACCAGTTATAATAAATTGATCTAATGTACCCCACAGTACACTTGTTACTTTGCGATGTCCTAATTGTGAGATATTTATACGAACTGATGGGCCTTCAGCAGCTTAAAAAAATAAGAGCGAAAAAAGTTTATGAAATTGTATTCTTTAATCAGCATACGTCTCATTCGAATATCTGCCAAATACATTTCACAAGATTTGCCCATAACGTCATCGTTTGTGTATAAGATGCTATTGCCATCGTAACTGAATGCACAACATCGAGCTGGTGCTTCAAGTGTATAGGAATTTCTTTCACGTCCTGTTTGAACATCCCAAACGCGAACAGTACTGTCGGCAGATGCTGATACAAATGCAGTTGTATCCCAATTAACATCTATTGTCCACACTGTTCCATTGTGTCCATTGTATGTACCCAAACGTTCACCATTTATTGAATACCATACGCAAGGAATTTTATCTTTTCCAGATGAAAATAATAAATCACCTTCGCGATTGTATCGAATTTTAGTTAAAGAACGTTCGTGAGCTTGTAAAAGAATTGGTCTCTATAAATGATAAAATTTAATAAACAAAAAGCTTTAAAGTTTATCTTACCATTTTGGTTAATTCTCTTATAAAGAATGATCTTAATCTAAAAATATAGAAAAACTTTATTTTCCTGTCAGAATTATTCAATACTAAGTAGTCTTCTTTTAATGATAGGATCATTCAAACCTTGAAAAAAGCGAAAAAATGCAGCAATATGCTTGGGAAATCTGTCCGAAGAAATTCTCTATATCATATTAACTAGCTATATATTCTACCTTGAATACTCATAAGGAAAAGAAAACTCGATTAAATTTTGAATCTTCTAATTACAAATCTTTAATCAAAGAAAACAAGAAAGAATAATCTAATGACTAGTTTTTATTTAAAATAGAAAGAAAATAAAATGCAACAGCTAAAGGTGTAAAAGTGTAATACAAGCGAAACAAAGCTCTTTTTTAAAAATTAGTCTATTACTTACTTAAGATAGTGCGCAATATAAATATATCACATACAAGATGCACTGGAATACAGTAGAAATAAGAAATGATTTCGTAAGATTTTCTCCTATTTTACGATTTTTTTCTTTTTTCTTACATAATTACGTAAGATATTAGTCATGGAAAGTAAGCGATTTTCTATTTCTCGAATAAAGCAAAATGGCTCGAAAAATTCAAAAATAAAATAAAATGATATTTAAACCATTGATAACTAAAACTAAAATATTGAGATTGATTAAGTCCATAAATATATGAAAATCTTAAATAAATTGATTATTTGTTTGCTTTCGGTGTCCATTTTCTATTACTATTAATAAAATTAAGTAAACCATTAGTTGATGGATCATGAGTTGTAACAGGTTTAGTTGCATCTAATTCTGGTAAAATAGCTTTTGCTAATTGTTTACCAAGTTCAACACCAAATTGATCGTATGAATTAATATCCCATATTTGTCCTTGTACAAATATTTTATGTTCATAAGCAGCAATCAACATACCCAATGTAAATGGTGTTATACGAGGTAAAACAAATGAATTTGTTGGTCGATTACCACGGAATGTTTTATGATATATAAGAAGTTGATCGGCGGATTTATTCTCGAATCGAACTTCATCTTCAGTTAAGCCACGCATTAAAGCTTCGGTTTGAGCAAGAAAATTAGCTAGTAAAATTTTATGATGGAGGCTATCACGTATTGGATTTTGAGTTTCGACTGGCGCTATAAAATCACAGGGAATCATCTTTGCACCTTGATGAATCAATTGATAAAATGCATGCTGGCCATTTGTGCCAGGCTAGAATAATAGTTTAGTTTCATAGATATATTTTTTTTTCTATGGGTTTTAGTATTATTTTAAATCAATGGATGTTCGATTAAGTACTTTTAAAATAAATTTTCTTCTTAGAAACCTTTGAGATAGATATTAGCTTAATGAAGAAACTTTAGCGCAAACAACTAAAACAGACTTTTTAGGATTATGCTTTCCTATAGAAAATGTGCACCGACATGATTATATTCCACTGGTACGCTATGTTCCGTCAAAAGATAGATTCATATTTTTAAAATCATTTGTTAAAATTTCTATCGATGATTTTAGAATGTGTCCAATATTCAATTATTTCTGACGGAGTATCTTCTCTTCAACTAATAAAAAGCACACCGATAAAAAGTAGCTTTTTTAGAGAGAACATTATTCAAGTCCTTATAAGTAAATGATCGATATCTTGTCAAGATTTTCTTTGAATAGATCGATTTAGTTTTATTCTAGCCATTCTCTTCCACATGTGTCTTAGTTCAAATACATATTCAAATTTTATTTACTTACTTCTCCCCAGATAATGGGTCCAGTTGTATAATCGACTTGCTTTCCTTCTTTAGTTCGATATTTTCCGTTACTTTCCATATCACCTTGCTGAAAATACGCTGAAAATCGATGCATATATTGATCATAAGGTAAAATAGCATGAGTTTCAGCGGTAAAAAAATTATTATACCATATGCCAAGTACAGCCATAATAACTGGTAAATTTGTTTCTAATGGCATTTCTTGAAAATGTTTATCCATAGCATGTGCACCAGCTAGTAATTGTTGAAAATTATCAAAACCAATCGAACATACAATTGACAGACCAATAGCTGACCATAATGAATAACGGCCACCAACCCAATCCCAAAATTCAAACATATTTTCTTTTGCTATACCGAATTCAGTGACTTTTTTTGTATTTGTTGATAGAGCAACAAAATGTTGTGCTACATATTTTTGATCTTTTGCTTGATTAAGAAACCATTCTTTAGCCGACTCAGCATTTGTTATTGTTTCTTGAGTTGTAAAAGTTTTTGATGCAATTATGAATAATGTTGTTTCGGGTGATAATTTTGATAATGTTTCACTTATATGTGTACCATCAATATTAGAAACAAAATGTGCGTGTGGACCATTTTTGGAATATGGCTATAAAATTAAAATAGTTAGTTAGTTAGCAAATGATTCTCCATATTTATTAGCTCTCTGTCTCCTATAATGAATCTAGTTTTTCTCGAAGGCAAAACTAAATAAAAATTATCGAAATCGATTACATTCGTATAAAACCTCATTTTTTATGCTACGGTATTCGCCATCAACCGATAGAGTTACTTCGAAACAGACGACTCTGAAAACTTCACTTGAACTTAGAATCTCACTTTCAATGCTTCGGTCACCATTAATGGTCCGAGATCGGATCCACCAATCCCAATATTCACAATATCAGTTATAGATTTTCCTGTATAACCTTTCCATTGACCATTTCGGATCGCTTCGGAAAAATGTTTCATTTGTTCTAAAACTCGATGAACATCTGGTAAAACGTTTTTTCCATCAACAAGAACTTCCTTTCCATCTTTAGGTGAGCGTAAAACTGTATGTAAAACAGCTCGTTTTTCTGTAAAATTAATTAATTCTCCTTGAAACATTTTCGTTCGTTGTTCTTCAATTTGGCATTCTCGGCATAAAGCAAATAGTTCTCGTAGAATATCTTCATTAATTAAATTCTTTGAATAATCAAATAAAAATGGACCATCAGGTGTTTCGATTTCTAATGAATAATGTTCAAAACGTTTGAAATCATCAAAAAATAATTGTCGAAGATGAAGATGAGTTCCGATTGTATCATAAAGAGTTTTTAAAGTTTTCCAAGCCGTTTTTTCAGTTAAATCTGACATTATCTAGAATTACAATTCATTTTTATTTGAACAACTCTCTCTACTCTGCATGTCTGTTTATTCAATCTTCTGTTCAAAACAAATCTGACCAAAAATAAAATAAAACCAAGACTTTTAATTTAGTCTAAATACACATTTATATATAAATATAAATAAATAAATGATTTATCTGACTAGATCTGTTTTTACTACTAAACATGCTGTTTCCATTAGAAGATTCAATTTGTCAATGTTATAATTATTATCATCATAATGATTAACTGTTGTATGTAACCAACCGCAGTGTTCATCTGTAAGATGACTTTCGGATGAAGTTAATATTATATGTACAAGTGATAGAATGAATTGAAACAACGATGATGATTGAGATTGCAAATTCATAACTGTTTGTTTTGATGGTGGAATCCAAGATGTGTTCATTGGTGCTGCTGCTGCTGCTGCTACTGTTGGATCAAGAGATTGTGAACATGATAAACGTGGTCGTTTTGATAACCGTGGTTCATCGTTTTCATCACTGGGTCGTTTTTCATTATTAGCTGTTAGATTTAAAGTACCGTTTGTTTCGATTGGTTCTATTGTTTGATTTTGTTCAGATGAAGTTGGAGATAGAAGATTCAGTTCAGCATTCTCTATAGTTTCATTTGATACCGATAAAACTGAAGCTAAAATGAAGCGAATTACAATTTAAGATTACATAGAAATATATGAATTGAGATCCCGAGGGGTTTCGCACATTATTATTAGGAAATCGAACAGAAAAACTAGAATAAAGATTAGTTTTACAAAAGTTTTTATACTAAAAGCTCTACTTATTATATACTAAAGAGTGATCTAAACTTTTTAGATACATCCATCCTAGAAATCACCAGAGATAGTCCTAGGCGAATGCCAGTTATTCACTAAATATGTTCAAAAGTCGCGTATTCAATGTGATATACATAATCTCTACATCAACATTGACATTATTTGAAAAGAAAGTACCGGGAATGAAAATCAATTATCTCTGCATAGTTTCAAATATGCTGATATTTTTTAAATTTCTATACCCTCCTACACAGATATCTACAAAGGTGAGAGCATCCAGTTCGAGATTGGGATAGTAGAAGAATAGCATGACATGTATGTCTAGTGGACACATGCTATTAAATATTCTAACCAGTGTTACGATCGCGATACGATAACGTATTATAGCGTGACAAAAAATATCAAAGAAATACGAAAATTCTTACAGTCGTTATTTTTTATTTTAAGAATTTGTGTTGAATTAATTTGTTCTCTAACTTGAGTAATAACATTTAGTAAATGATTAAGTTCATCAACAATTTGATTTGTATCAAAAACTGCTGTACTAGTATTCTGTTGATGTTTTTCGGATGTTGTTGTTTTAAGTTTTTTTCCAGAAAAATTCTCATTTATATTTATTTTTAAATCTATATTTGCTTGTTGAAATGCTTGTTGACATTTATCTTTAAATGTTTTATTTTCATCATCATCATCTCGATTTTCATTGATTAAAATTGGCCAAATTTGTTCAAAATAATATCGTATCTTTTTAACTGTACAATTTGAACCTTTCAATACATGTGTACGTTGTTCATCTAATAATTTCTTTTTCCATAATTCACTCATTAAATTTGTTGAACGATTATTACGTACACGACGTTCAAATAAGTAACGAAATGGTAATGTACGTGTCGATGGATATCCAAATGGATAGATTTTATTTTGTTCAAGTGAAGATAAAACTGCCGATGATAGAATAGGTAAACGGGAACAAAATATAAGAACAATGGGAGTATTATCTAAATAATCAAATAGTTTATTCGGGCTTTTGTTCTTTATTTTCTGAATAGAAGAATTCGATAATTACCTTTCTTGACGAAACATTTTTCAATCCAAGAAAGAAATATTAATGGTGTTAAATGACCTAACTCATTGAATGAATCTTGTTCATTACTTATTGTAATATCACGAAGTGCATTAGGAAAAATCAAGTATGGTTCAGTTGATTGACCATCATTGGAAAATGCATAGATTACAGTTACTTTTGGTGTAAGATTCATTGGACGTAATTCATTCCATTCAGGTAATTGAAGTATAGTCGATTTTTTCGTTAAAGGAAATTCAAATGTATCAATAGTCCACAATTGAGCCTAAATAGAAACAAAATAGGATCGATAAACTTTTATAAATGTCAGTTCTATAATCAATAGAAATCAAAGCAAAATGATATCTATTGTATGCTATAAAAGAGTCTATCGCAAAAAGAAATCATTATTACTTTTTCATGATTAAGTTCATTCTCGATTAAATATTGTTGAAAATCTTCATTCCATTGTTTATCATCAATAATTGATTCATTATCCAATTGAATATGATGAATATCTTCAAATGCTCGCCAAAAACTGCCAGGTGATTGTTGATCACAAGGCCTTATTGAGCCCATTATATTGCCGCAGAGATTCATTGCACGTCTACATGTTACTATACCAGTTAATTGATAGATCTCTCTTAAAAATAATTGTTTAGCGCATGGCCAAAAATTTAACGAACGTAAATGGCGTAACCAATCAACAGTTGATTTTGACTGCATAAACGTATTTAATTGTGTAAGACATGAACCAGTCGTCAATGATGGATTGATTTTATATGATAGACAATACTTGAAATAATCTAGTTTCATTCCACCTAAATATTTACTTGCACGTGATATTGATATTTGTCGATTGAGAATGTAGGTTAAAATTTGTTCTGGTGTAGAATCAATAGGTGGATCTGCCATCATTGTCTGTGAAGTTAATTTTGTTTTACTGCCTTCGAAAATACGGAAATTTTTCATTAATTAAATACGGTTATTTAGAAAAAAAAACTAGAGCTACGTGGGACCAAAAATTAAAAAACCTTGTGAACGGAGGATTACAGAAAACAATTTCTCAGGCATTATTAGAGATTACAATACTTCAGTATTCTCTGGCGCAATAAATATTTCCGACACGCCTACGTGCAATTGAAGTACTCGATCCTAAAATTTAGACGCCTCGTGTTATAATTGTCAGAAATTTTCAACTCGGTGGGTTCTCATTGTATTATTAAATAATCACACTCAGTCGATAGTCTACGATATCTTTAAATCGAGTCAAAAAAGAACTGAATGTCTAAAAGTACCCACACAATTGCTTAAATGAAAACTTTCTTCTAATAATAATTTTCTATCATGAAACTATTTCAATAAAAGATTCTGATTTTTACCTATTTTAACTAGGGTTTTTTTCTTTTTCTTCTTTGGTAAAAGATTTTGTGATGATGTTTGCAATGATTGCACATATTGTTGATCATTTTTTTTCCATAAAATTGTTTGATTGAATAATTTAGATATTTGATCATTTTGTTTAAGTGTTCGAAGCGTAAACCACATTGCATGAACTATCCGTCCGATAGCTGTTAGAGGTTTACAACGCATTTTATCTACATGATTTGCTGCCGACCATTGTTTATCAAATAACGAAAACAATGGGGATAATATATGTGTTAAATATGAATCGAGTTCAGTTGTTATTATATTTACATCACATTTTTGACAGGAAGTTAAAAAGTCAGGCGTTAGAAGAGTTGTACGTGGATCGATCAGAAGAGCACTAAAATTTAATGAAAAATAATTTTTCAGCTAGTAGTTTATAATGAAAATAGAAATCAACGTATAATTTTCATATGATCAGTTTCAACGGATATTATTTCTATGTCTATTTTTAAATTATAAATCTACTAAGAAAGCTGTTGAATGATATTGTCAAGATAGTTTACACGAAAGATTTAAGGATAATAATTATAATGATAAATTCTTAGAAAGGATGCACTTTTATACTAAGTTCCTACGATTGAACGGGTTTGTCGGAAGTATTTTTAATAGGATCATCCTCAAGAGCCGTGTATTCTAAATTAGATGAGGATTCGCTAGATTGCATTCTGGAAAAAAGCCGTAGTAGCTTATGTTTAGTAGCCTGTCGGTGACGATTTCAATTTCTCCAGGGAATGCCCTCCAACATATAGGAAATCTTCAATTTTTTAAATCAAGTATACTGTAAGATACTTATACTAGCAGAGAGCTACTAGGAAAACTTTCAAAATCGAAAAGCTACCAATATTAACTTTAATCCAGTCTTGTCATCTCAATATATTCACGATATATTGGTAAAAAATGGATTCCACAAAATATTCCATTGGCTATTAAAATTACGCTTTGCTGGTTAGTTAATGCTCGCGACTAAACATGAATAAATAAAAACACCGTATTTCTAATGATTTAGGACTAATAGAATATGAGTTAATTAGTGAGAACTGACCGGTGATACAGAGAGATTATTTCAAACAGTTCCGCTCTAAATCACTTAGTATAATTGGAACCTAACAAAAAATGGTAAAATAATATTTAGAAAGGAAAGAAAAAAAAGAATGCATCAAACATTTGATCCTAGTTTATACTCTACAGTTTAATTGACAAGAAAATAGCCAACCGATTAGCTTCGCTTGAACTAACTTGCCTACAAACTACAGTCAATATAAAGACTTCCTTGTATTATATATCACGGTATATTTCACAATATATACTATCTCATAAAAATTTTAATAGAATAAATCGAAAAATATTTAATTACCTATCCTTGGTCACATATGGCGACGAAACAAAATCATCAAGCCATTGTTGTATATGTTCATATGATATATCACCATTATCTGTGGTCACGATACGTGTAAATGATGTTGATGAATAATCAAGTTTCAAATTTTTCCCTGTTTTACATATAATTAATTGATTTGAATATTTTCCACTAGGTGTTACTGCAAATAAACAAGTTATGCGTAATGTTTTTGATCTTTTGCAATGAGTTGATGAACGTGCTAAACAATTATTGAATATCGTTATTTCAGGCGTTAATGTAAAGCCATGCGCTGGCACAAGTATTGATATTGAAAGTAAAAACCAAATCTGTTCAATATTAGTTAAGGGGTTAACAAAATCGATTTGTTTTGTTGATTCTGATGATTTGAGAATATCATTCAATTTATAATATGTTGGATAAAGTAAAGTATTAATTTGAAAATCCTTTTTATTTGATTCATCCAATAGTAACCATCGACTAAATGATTGTAATGAAATGTTTGGTGAATAGAGACGTTTAAATGATGTATATAGTATTGATACTGGATCAATAAATCCTTTTTTCGACAGATCTAATGCAAATGAACGACATTGTAACCAGAGTGTTTCATTTATACCTAAGTATTCGATAGGTGATGCTATGGATTTGCGAGTATATTTATCGAATCGATCTATTGCTAGAGGAGGAGTTATTTCAGGCCAATTTATTCTATAAAAAATAAATAAAATTGAATTAAACTATTTAATAAAGCTTACTCAGGAGGATTGTTATTCATTTTCCAAAAATGAATTTTTGTCTTTGTTTGTCAACAAGGGAATAAAAGTGAAATAATAATAAATTTTTTTTTCTAAATGGATATAAGATCAAAAGAAATGATTTGCATATATGAACAGCAAATAAATTTATTGATAGATGTCGTTTAAAGTGGAAAATGATTCTTCTCGTTCTTTTTCATGTTCTAAAGGAAGTTGTCATGGGAATGGAATTGTAGAAAACATGGTATAATTTGTAAGCTTATTTTAGTTATTCAGTTAAAGTGATACAATGGCCGCTGAAGGTGGAGAAGCTGAAACTCAACAAAAAGAAGAGACCAAACGTCACACGTATCCACTTGTTCGAGTAAGATAACAACTGAACTTTTAAAGTTGAATACGTTATTTCAAAACGAAGAAAATATTTAGACAAGTGATATGAATGATGAACTTAAAACTGAATGTATGGAGTTATGTGTAACAGCATGTGAAAAATTCTCTCAAAATAATGAAGTTTGTATTTATGAGAAAATTTCTTTTTTGAATAATTCATTTTCGTTCTTTAATAGAGTGCTGCTAGAATGATTAAAGAGACCATGGTTAGTTGAAAAATATTGTTTTTCGGTATTTTTCTTGATGGATTTTATTTAGGATAAAAAGTTTGGTCCTACGTGGCAGTGTATTGTAGGCGAAGGATTCGGGTTTGTAGAAAGTTATTTTATTTTTCGAGAAGGGACATGAATTTTGTTTTTGTTTAGATATCATATTGAACACGAAGTTAAATCACTTTTATATATGTTCTTTGGCGGAACAACAGCCATTATTGTCTGGAAATGTGCTTAAAAAAACTAATATTTCATCGTTTTTCTATTCTTTTTTTTTTCTTTCTTTTTGTTTCAAGACTATAAAACAATGACTTCTGGTGTCTTGTAACATATAATATAGGTGAAATGAAGAAAATAATGAGATTTATTTTCGATGAAAGATTAAATTCATATTGATCAGAGTAAAATGAATAGTGGAGAAAACGAATATATTTTTTCGACATTGAAATCATAGAACATAGAAACGGAAATTTTGCGAGTGTGTGCATATGTGTCTGTAACATAGTTACTCTATGGTAACTGTAGTACAGATGACTGCATCAGATGACAACGAAGACATCTTCAAATCAAGATTCAAATAAAATGAAGAATTCAAAATCTGTGTATACTACACTAGAAGTGTGTGCGAACATGCGATTATGATTGAATGATATCTGTATGTGCAGTTAAAATAGCATTGATGTAATCTCGATTATCATTGAACACCTAATGCGGAATGTTAAGATTGATATCAGAGAACAAAACTACTCAGGATTCCGGCATACTTTAGACCGAGTTTGAATTATATAACGAATCAAGTATGTTTGCTTTTTGAAAAGAAAATAGTATTGAATATCCATTGGCGGAAGTACCAGAACTAAAGGTTTGCCTGTAGATGGAGCTTAGCTTTCTGAGTACGCCTGTATGCATGACATATATTCTTGTGATAACTTTCAGTAACATGACGACTCGAAGTCGTCTAGTAGAAAGGTCGAGTCCTCTTGAACCCTAAGCTGATAACATTTCTAATAGTAAAAACGATTGCTTATAAAAGCGAAACTAACATAAAATATTGTCAACACATAACCGAGGATTTGTCATCAGCATTCTTCTTTTATTTTTGATTAATTACAACTACTTTATTTCTTGTGTAGTATTCTTACATTTCATGTAAATTTGACTTATGAATATTAGAAGTTTCGAACTCATTAACAAACCAAAAACAATAAAGAAACGCGCACTATTTCAATGTCCTAAATTATTTATCATTTTGTTTCTATGTCAATTCATCCATCAAATATCGACCCATGTGATTTACGTTCGCATAAATTTTCTGTGCTCTTATCTAAACCATTAGGTAATAAGATGTTATATAAACTACCTGGTATTGGAATAAATACTTTCAAAAAACTACAAAAAACTAAGCAAATAGCTAAAGCTGAAGATTTATTAAGTGAATTTATTCATATATTTCAATGTGATCATCAAGAATTTCGTTTATGGCTTATGAAAGATTATGCATTACCCGAATATCGAGCTACTGAATGTGTCATTGCTTTAATCGATTATATTGAACAGGCAAAGAAAAATCAATGGGTTTTACCATAACAAATTTTTCTTACCCATTTTATACAATAGGTTTTCCCTTATTGGATACATTTCGTGTAATTCAACTGTTTTTTTCTGCAAAGTTATTATTAAATTCATTAGTTAAAAACCCGTTTTAGGTGATTTTTCAATACACAATATGTTGAGAAATAATTGTGGAAATACTAAATTTCACTATAGACAAATTACAGATTATGTTTTTTTGTTTTGTTCGATCCAAAATAACGTCGACATTTGAAGTAAAAGGATAATCCGTACGTATCAAATGCATTGCTCTTTTGATAATCTATCATGTATACATGTCATTTGAGAAGCTAAATCGACATGGTTCAATAAAAAATACTGAATCATACATTAAATTGAATGCATCGTTGTGTAATATTTTTAAACCAACAATCAGTTGTGAAAAGCTCTTGATCTTTCATTATTAATATTTAGAGCACGATGAGAGAGGATAGGTACCTCGAAAGGTGTAATCAATTGATAAAATTTCACAACAGCTGAAGATTATATTTGCATTATAAATAGCAATGAACGCATTTTCTGATAAACTGATATAAATTATATAGATCAGTGTAGGCCAAAAAAAGTATTTTATTAACACACTCATGAACTTCCGTTGTTAAAAGCTTGGTCCCAAAGTTGACTGGGAAATTCTTGGATATTTAGTTCAAACAGCTTTTTCTATCAGATATTTATGTATTTTAATAAATAAATAAAATGCACTTTCTGTTTAGAAGCTTTTACAAATTGTGACTTTATCACATCTAAATAAACGATTAGATAGTATTTGCAACCAAAAGTCATGCTCTATGCTGGATCAAAAAAGGAGCAGTGTCATACCAACACAAGCATAGCTTTCATAATGAAAAATAATGATCGATGATACGAAAAAGAACATACATGACCGATGAAAAATTTGATATAGTTCTCTGAAGATCAATCAATTAACTATTTTTAGAACAAAAAAATTTATTAAAAATAAGAAATCGATGCATTATTATTGCGTTCTCAAGTAAATACTATAGACCACAAGTGATATTTTCTAGAATAAAGCTTGTTGTAATCAAATATTAAAATCCTATGTAAATTTTTATACTCATCCCAAATCAACAAATAGGTTCTCTTTTATTTTTTTAAGGATTCCACATCCTATTGCCACTACTATCAGCTGGTATGTGCTGTTAAATAATATCCAATACTATCAGAAATACGAAACAAAATGTTTTCGAATTCAAATTGATGATAACGGTCAGTTTTGCATTTTTTATTCGAGAAGTCACGAACTATCAAATTAGATAACAGACTTCATTTCTACTAGACCAGATTTTATGTCACGTCTTAATAAAAATGTGCACTGTATAAACACGTCAATTTCAACAGATGAGTTAGTAAATGATCACGAATATATGTTTCTTAGACTGGAGCACTTTTAATAGTAGTATGAAGAAACTTCACTTTGTCATAGAAGCACACAATACTGCTACTTGACCAGTAATAATTATTTATTAATAAACTTAAGGTTTAAAATTAGACACTTTTTCTTTTGAGTATTTTCAAATGTATATGACATACTTAAACATTTATATCATAGCAAATTTGCCGACATTGTTTTCTTAGTCGAGTATTTCATTTCATTAACTTTGAACTTAAAATGATTTTTAACAATAGAAGATCATCGTAAAATTCCAATTTATCTAATCATTCATTTCGATATGATTTCTTTTCTTTTCAGTTGAGAATTCTCTAAGTGAGATACTAGTGATATCGAAGCTCATCTTTCTGTCTACATAGTATACATATTAGGCTCACAAATACTTCAATAGACGATACCATAAATGTCTCATTGATATGTACACATATATAAACACACTCACAAACATATGCATTTTTTTTCAAAAGAAAAAAAAAGAAAGTATAAATGGGCTCAATAAACACGATATACAAGGAACCACCCAAAAAAAACAGTAGAAATAGACCAATAAGAACGCTAGAGCAAGAACCGGCAAGAAAACAAAATCAAGTAATGCTGATAAAAACAAGCATTTTCTTTTCTTGGTTTCAATGTTTGAATTTAACAATCAAAGAGTATCACAGAGACACAAAAAGAACAAAAAGAAAAACGAAGAAAAAACAAAGATAACGAATACTTATGACAATACAATATGATATATCTATTTATTTCTCTCTCTATATCTATCTATATATTTATATAGATAGAGACAGAGACAGAAAATAATCCATAAAAGAAAGATATTAACTTCTCTTCTTTTATTTGATATTGAGCTCTAATGAAAACGATGATGCAGATGGGTGTTGACTATACTTCACAACTGATTAAAAGACATTAAGAAAAACAAACAAATAATCATTGTCCAAAACGTCTTTAAGGAAATTTTATTTTTAGAGTTGTCGGTTTCGAATCATATTTATTATTTCGGAATCAGCTGAACGAGCTGCACCAGCAAAAAATAAATTTTCAATTCCTTTTATACACCAGCCACGTATAGGTGGCATACGAAGAAGTAATTTAGCAAAACGTGCAACGTCGTCACTATGAACTTTTTTACAATACGATGCTAATGACATACAAACTTTTTCGCGTAATTCTGATACACGACATGTATCGACAACATCTTTCGCATCTAAATAAGAAAAAGCTTAGTATTATATTATATTCTGGAGTGGTTCGTTTGACCACGTACCAGGATCAAAAAGAAAAATAGCCTTGAGACATGTTATTTCGACCTTGTCGACATTTAATTCACGCATTATTGTAACAACATCATGGTAAAGACGAGTAATAAAGAATTGAAGCGATTGATCAACTGCTGTATGAGGTCGAACATAAGAGCCATCCTATATCAATGAAATAATTATAAATTTTTATTTTTAAATACCTCTACCTGTCTACACTCGATTTCATGTGAGACATAGTTAGTCTATCTGCCTCTCTTTCTTGTCTATTTACTTAAAAATTGATTTTAATTTAAAAAGAAATAATATTTATCATTTAGAAGAGAAATCATATTGTATAAATGCTTAACATTTCAAGCACCATTGCTTTCTAATTATACCGAAGTTCTTTTTTTTTTGTTTGTACGAAATATTCAATTGTTTAAGCATATGATAAGAAATCGTGAAATACTAACCGATAAAATAAGACCACAATCTGGTGCCATAATCGATCTGTATGCAAGTGAACAACAGAGTATATCTCTCCATGATGCACGAACAAGTGCAACTTGATCATCAAGTGACAATGTTGAAAAATGTGGTACACGTTTGGCCCAATCTGTTAATTGTGCAAGTTGAGAATTAGTTGTCGATAATAAGCGATCATAGGAGCATTCTTCTTCATGAAATGTGTCTATTTTTGGTTCAACAGATAATTCAGCGGCAATTAATTTTTCAATTAACATTTCATCATCATTAGAACCAGATGAGCATATGCCCATATGTGCGCTTGTACTACCACTTCCCACACTTGCACCGGGTGATGATGGTGATTCGCCTTCACCATTCATACCAGATTTTTGTCTCTCTTCTTGAACAGCTAAACAAATAGAATGCAAAACAGGTTAATTGATTATCGTGGAAGACTACAAAAAGCATGTTCTTACAATTACCTTCTTTTTTCATCCCAACAGTAAGACATTTTTGATAACGGCAATATTGGCAACGATTTCGTTGTCGTTTATCAATAATACATTCTCGGTTATCTCGACATGTGTATGTTAAATCTTTTCGTACGGTACGTTTAAAAAATCCTTTACATCCTTCACAACTAAAAGAATCGCTTCATAAAACGATCGATGAACTCAAATATAGAATAAACGAACCTATGAACTCCGTAGTGCTTTCCAGATGCTTTGTCACCACAAATAACACATGCGTATCTCGATGCAGCTACCGCCGCCGCGGCTGCAGCAGCAGCAGCAGCAGAGCTCATTCCACCACTTGTTGTAGCTGTTGGTGTTGAACTCGTTGATGAATTCGAATTTCCGCCAATACCCATGAACTGTCCACCGGATGACATTGGAACTTAAACGAAAACGATGAATAAAACAATGAAGCACTTTTTCATTTTGCTTACCAGGACTTAAGGATGTTGGTGAATCGCCACTTGATCCGCTTGAATAATTCGAGTTTCCACTTGTATTTTGTAGAGCTCCATTTTGAATTTGATTGGATACATCCATAGGAGGGGAGAATGTTCCATTGTCACCGTAGCTGAAATCTATGAAAGAGAAGTCGATAGTTATGTTTTTATCGTTTTTTATTTTATGTTCATATTACTTGATTCGGACATGATTTAATTCATCAATAAACTGGGAGGACCGATATAATCTAAAAATGAAATAAGATAATCATAATAGATGAAAAGCGTTATCCTTATAATTGCAAAAAATAGTTTTGATGAATTAGAATATTCAATTTTTTTTCAAAACTCTAATAAACAGATGTGGATGGAATATCTTTCATTAAAGCAACACCAGATGATGTTCCAAGACGTGTAGCACCAGCTTGAATTAATTCTCTTGCAAAATGACTATCTCGTATACCACCAGATGCTTTCACTTGAACATTGTTAGGTGAATATTGACGTAATAATTTAATATCATCTAATGTTGCCCCACCAGTTGAAAAGCCTGTTGAAGTTTTGATAAAATCAGCCCCAGCATCTCCCACAATTTGACATAATTTTTGTTTTTCATTTTCATTTAATAAACAAGTTTCAATAATAACTTTGAGAATTTTATTCTCACCCGAGGAATGTACTAGTTTGGCTAATTGCTCAATTTCATTTTGAACGTATGCAAAATCACCATCTTTGATCTTGCCAATGTTAATAACCATATCAATATCGTGTGCACCATCATTTAATGCTTGTTGGCATTCATATAATTTCGTTTGGGTCGTTGTTGCGCCAAGCGGGAAACCAATAACAGTACAAACACGTACTGAATATTTATCTGCAACATATTTAACGTGACACGGTTGAATACACACGGTAGCAAATTTATGTTCAACGGCTTCAGTACATAATTGATCAAGTTGCTTTAATGTTGCATCTTGTTTTAACAAAGTATGATCGATTGCCGAACTTGTCAACATAATTATTAACGCTAATTTTATTGTCTTTTCTTTTTTTGTCTTAAAAAAATCTTTTACTGGTCCTTTTCAGGGTCAACAATGGCACTTTCTAATTGGTAGAAATTCTATTACGAATGGGATTAAAATAGATTGATATTTTTTTACAACAGTAGAGGACGCTTGAAAAACTGATTAATAAATATTTCCACTTAACACGATATTCAAAAAGAAAATATTAAATAAAAGAAAAACTTTTTATAAGAATTAGAATAAGCCCCCCCCATGGTGATGAGAACGAATAAACAACGCGTTCAAAACAGACGAATGCATTCGCAATGTATTCGATAGGGGTCGCACATTGGTAACGCGTTCGGTACGTTCTGTTCTTTGTTGGCGAGGTCGCTTTCAAAGTATTAAGAAAATGGTAAGTTATGGAACAAATCAAATAATATTAAAAATTTTGAGTATTTAGCGCGAAAAAAATGAATAAATATTTTTTTGTTGAATGTTCATGAATTGAAAACATTTTTGTAATGTTCTTTTAGATAATACCCCCAGGTGGAACATTCCGGCCGCCGGATCCCGTGGTATACCTCCAGGAAATATGAGGGAAAGTCACCATATCCTACAGAAAAAAACACGGGGAATCGCTGAAACGTGGAAGCAGTATTCCGGTCGGAAATTTTCGGTTGTTTCTGATGATTTCCCAAACGGTTCCTGCCAAAAGCACAGGAAATCGCTGAGAATTCACAGGAAAAATTCCGGCCGGAATACTGTGTACACGTTCCAATGTTTTCCTGGCGTTTCCCACCGTATGAGTTTGGTCTGGGTATAGCTTATTTATTGTTTTTAATTTTTCAGTAGAGATTTTGGTTTATAAGGTGGATAACCCTAATGGAACTTTCAAATCACAAAATGAATTTTTTTCTCCACCTATCGTATAGTAATTGATCACTTTCTTTTATAATTACATAAACTTATTTTAATTTA